CCCCCCCCCCCCCCCCCCCCCCCCCCCCCCCCCCCCCCCCCCCCCCCCCCCCCCCCCCCGGTTAATACAGTAGCAGTTCAAGCAAAAAGTTCCGTGTTCAAATCCAAAACTAAGCGCAAAAAGAATAAATATCGAAATATAAAGTAACGTATAACGTATGATATAGAAGTAGAGAAATCAGATCGAGCAGTTTCAAGAAAAACACAATAAAGAAAGAGTTACAGTCGTACCTGGAATTCGTTTTTGTTCATTCCTTTTTCAGGAATGGTTCAGAACACGTTCATTGAAAAATGGAACGCATTATTCATCATTATAAATAGGAGCGATCGATAACGCTTTCCATAAAGGTGAAAACTATTTCTTTTAGAATGGAAAATGTTCTAAAAGCTATGGAATGCGTTCTTCACCATTCTGAATTGAAAAGGTCAGGAACACGTTCCACATTCTTAGAAAAAAATTTTTAAGAAAAAATTGTTTTTCAAATAGTGGAACGCGTTCTCCACCATTCCTTTTTGGAACGGTTTCCACTTTTTGAAATAACTTTTTTTTCTTAAAATAGTTTTCTCTGAAAATGGAAAGCGTTCTACACCGTTTTTTTCTTCGATTATTTTTCGCTGGGTAGTTGATTTTAGCTGTATGAGGATATGATATAATATGTTGACTTACATACTTCAAACCGAGTCGTACATTTTTGGTTGTAAAATTTGACGAAAAATAAGTATCACTACGATGCTCCACAAATATTCTTCCATCATCAAGAAGAATGATAAACCAAAGACATGAACCAATACCTACAGTTGATAAACGATAAGTTTTACAATAATACAAATTTAGTCGGTGATTATGCTTTTTGTATTTCTGCAAAAAAACTTCTTTTTATCTCTTTGTTATCAAAGAACAGCTTGCTCAAATACTTGTGGAATATTCAAATATGTTTGTATCATTATATGCATTATAGTGAAATAAGAAAAAGTGATAAAACGATCACAAAATTGTGTATGTTTTTTTTTCAATGGATAGATAGTGGAATCGAAGAAGAAAACAATCGAATATTTTATTTTATTTTCAATAGTCATATCTGCATTCAATTTGATTTTCAGTCTATTTATTACTCCAAAAAAAGAGAGAAAGACTTGCATATGGTCTTTTTGCTTATTGCTTTCTTTCACTTTCCTCATGCTTTTTATCCCTCACTAATAGTATAAATAATTGTAGCAACACATTTTCTGTACTATGAGTTTGCAACGAAATCACTCTTCCGAATAAAAAGTGACAAATAAAACTTATACAAAAACAAAAACAAGAAAAAGTTAATCATCAATTATAAATATCATTACCTTTGTATCTAGACAATTTTCTGATATGTCATTGCGATCCATTTCAATATCATTAATTTGACATAACTCCTTTGCCGTGTTCTTTCTTTGAACAAGAATAAAAGTACGAATATAAAGAAAGCAGATAATAATACGATTGAGTGAGCCTAAATGATGATAAGTAATACTTTGTGAATATTTTCGATATTCACTTCCCGACAAGCTATATATAGATTTCCTATTTTTCCTTTTCTTTTCTTTGTATACGATATGTGTTAGATGGGAAAAGAATTATATATAAGTAAACAATTAAAGAATAACTGTTCAATAGGCATATCAACTGACTTGACATTTTCGATCTCATTCAGAGTCGATGAAAATTATATCATTCAAACGAAAGTGAAAAACTTAGTATTGCGTACAAATTTTTCAAAAATGGGCACACTGTAGTCTCCAGCAGATTTTTTTTGAAAATACATTTCCCAACAAAAATTGATCTTATCTTTTTTATATTCACTTATATATATATATATTGAAAAAAAAAGTTTAATCATAATATTTTCATGACGGCGAAGGCTGTTTGTAAAAATTGTTCGTAAAAATACTAAGACAAATACTATTGAGATAAATTATGATAAAGACTAATCAATTTAATTAAGATAAGAATGTAAATGGTTACTCGAAGTTTAAATATTCAGGATCATATATTAATTGTCTAGAAATATGTCATATAATTATTGTCATTGATCGATTTTTAATCAAATAGAAAGCCATTTCTCTCTCTTGTTCTATGGACAATGAAAATCTATAGAAAACTATTATTCAAAATATTTTTCTATGTAATTGATATTTTATTTTTCAATTGATCATTGCCATTATTGCACTACTAAGATGGAAGATTATCGAAGACTAGTAGCACGTATATTCCTCAATACAGGCGACATTGACGCTTTCTCGTTTGCTTGTTATAAAAGGGTAATGAACACTTTTTAGCTTAAGCAAGCGACAAAACACAACATTCGTCAATTGATAAAAACGTCTTTTATTTTTAATTCAATATACAGCAATATTAAGTGTGAGCCTTTTATTTGATTTTTTAAATGAGATTTCGATTGTAATATTATTTCATATATAAAACAAAAATTTTCAGCTGGGACAAATGTTTCTTTGCTTGGTGGTGACTAAAGATGTGGTCTAGTTAATGTTTAGTTTATATTTCTCATTTTTACTGAATAAAATCTTTTGAGTACCGTTCTCTTGTTGTATTTATGTCCCAGGTCGAACAGTCCGGCCTGGAAACGGCCGGTTCCGGATAGTTCCGTTGATTTTGTGGAAGCAGTATTCCGGTTGGAAATTTTTCACATTTTTTCCGGTGATTTACAATCAATTCCTGCCGGAAAGCACCGGAACTTGGCAGGAATTCGCCGGAAAAGTCCGGCCGTATTTTTGACCGGAATACTGCTTCCATGTCCCAGCGATTTCCCGTGTTTTCCTGCAGGATATGGTGACTTTCCCGTATATTCCTTGGAGTATCTTACGGGATCCGGTGGCCGGAATGTTCGACCTGGGGTGTTTTGAATATTTATCAAATCTTTGATCTTTCATTTTTTTTAAATACTCAGCCAATGGTGATCCTATACGTATATGAATCAGTCGCCACTAAATGAAAAAATAGATAACAATATCAACAAAGAAAATATTTTAAAAAATACCTTCGATTTGTTGTTGCTGTTTGCTGGAAATTCTAATTTTATTTGCAGTGTACTAAACAAAAAGTAAAAAAATAAAATCCTTTTCTTTCATAAAAAAAAATGTACCTGCTTCTTTCGAGAATTTTTATTTTTATTGTGTAGATCATAAAAAATGAAATGTAATATTAAAAAGAAAAACGAAAAAAAAATGTTCGAACTAAAAGATGACTTCTAAACAAAAAAAAATCTTCATTGCCAATATATAGTTTGCCATATAAACTTTGACTTCAACGATATTATATCCTATACTCGTCCAGTAACATTGAACATGATTAATAAGCTCAAATCAAAACAGACATTTGAATGAAGTCTAAATTGAATTGAACAATATTCAGTAGCAATGAAACAGAAGGATCAGGTTTAGTTCATGCAAAAAAAATCAACGAAATGATTCCTAAATCCGGACAAATCATATAAAATGATAATATAAATAAGCAAACATAAAATAAAATAAGAGTAAAACAATAATAAGAAACAGATAAATAAATTTTAAAAAATTCTTTTGTACCCTTAACAGGGGTTTTCATACATTTAATATTGTGATTGATATAAGTTGAATTGTCATAAAGTAACGAGCAGAGGGAACAAGACGATAGAAAAGAAGATTATTTACAGAGGAGCTTTTTTCTTCTTTTCGTGATATTCGACCCGAGGAAACAGATGTCAAGAAGAGATTTTTTTAATTTACAGTGATGTAGCAACAGAACTATTTATTGACAACATGGTATGATGGGCTACAACTGCTGGATTATTAGATTAGAGTCTGTCTCTAAAACCAAATGTTTTAGTAGAGTTCGATGGTTTCGAATCCATTTTTTATAATGTTTATCTTGATCAACGTCTCTGATGTGTGCGCTGGCACCGTTTATCAAAACAACAGAGTTTGAAAATGTCGAGATTAAAGTATCTATGACTTGTACGTCGCTATCGATCTTTAAACAATGCCACTGAATCGGATGCCAGTTAGACAAAATAGATTAAACGGAAGAGAGAATGCCCGCAGCTCTGCCGTTCAAAAGCTACTTTTTGAAGGTTAATGGGAAATATATTTGTTTCATCTAAACCTGTTTCACCTACATTTGCAATATGTCTTTCTGATATGGAATAGTTTCTATTTTGTAAAATGTTTTGCAGATGAGAGATTTTGAAATCTAAGCCTTGTGTTGTGAGAAACTGACTGTATTTCGAAAGTCTTGTAAATTTAAGCGTTTCCGTAGAATACTGAGAAAACTTTCTTCCAGTTTTGGAATTTGTGTTTGTTCGATATCATAAAAACTTTTCTCATAGTTGAGTTAGAGACTGCTTCAAAGAAAGAATAATTATTTGAGAGTCATTTCGATGACAATGTGCGCCGAGAATCGGAATATTGTTTGATAAGAGACTGTGCAAATTACACACACAAGTATGGTAAAGAGTTTTGGAAGTAAAATTGTGTATTCATGTTCGACAACTGGAAAAATAAAAAGAATATTTGTCGCATTTCATGATTTCAAAAAATAGATAGACAAAATATGTCTTATTCTCAATAATTTTCGAACACATTTGATTCTGCTCGTTTGTGCATTTTCTTTTTCGCCCTTCGTCAAGCTGTCTCTTGTTAGAGGTTCGTTCGAAAAATACGAAACCCTATGCATGAATAGTTTCCTTTCTTTTTCTTCTCAAGAAACATTGAATACAAAAATTAAAAGCACAGCTACTCAATTACCTATGTGTGCCGGTTATCCAATCAATCCATCAACGTTGTCACGTAAACGACAACCTCATCTAAAAATGATTGTTGATTAACATCTTGACATAGCAATGGCTGATTTGTACTGTAAAAACAATGGAGCTTTAAATTATTAATAGTAGTATCTGGTCCAATACATTTCAATGACTGCCGTCAACACCGCATACGTATCATTTCTATCAGCCCCTATTACTTGTACGGTCGAGTTGTCGATTCGATGCATGAAAAATGACTGTATTTCTTTAGTTCTATCATGTGTTATTTAAGAGTTCTGAAAAATTCTAGTGTTTGGACGCTATCAACTGCTCGATTTTTTCTACAGGCATTTTTAGTTAATTATGGTTCTTACAGAACAGAAAAAATTCTTCTACAAGCTAAACATGTTTTGACATCGTTAAGATACATTTTTTTAATATTAATTGGTAGTAAAACATATTGCAAATAAAAGATCGAAGCAAATATTTGATTTAGCTTACACTTCTCCCCTACGTAATCGAGTTGACAGCAATCATTTCATCAATCGAATAGTTTGCTTAGTATCCGTGCTGTGCCTCCTACACTCTATGCACAGTATGTTATTTTTTCTTTTTTCCATCGTTCTTCATCTTAAGTAAACAATGTTCTGTGGACTTTAAAAAAAAAGGTGCACGCATCGTCATTGACTCATGTCTTAGCATCGACTGAATTCATTATTCAACGATCGTATACAAACGGAGTTGTCACTTGTAGAGCTTTTAGAATTTTTTCTAATAAATTATTTTGCGAGCGAACTACTGTAGTGAAACAAATAACTCTCTCAAACTTGTTTTTGTCTTTATACTGAAAAAGTACAATTTCTGTAATTATAATCAATTCAAATTAGATCAAGATGGAAGGAGCTCAATACCGTAAAAATGATATTCCTTCAGGAGTATCCTCTGGTGATAATAAGACCAAATTTGCTGACAGTATAATCAAGTTTTATTGTGCAAAATTGCACATTGTTATGATTGTGTTGGACTTAGTGATTGGTAGTGTGGAACTGGGTGAAGGTATCAAAAATGGCAACCAATGCCCGATTCAACCCATGATTGGAACGTTTTTGATTGTTCACGGAGCTGTTTCAATTTTTTCTGGATTAACTCTTATGCTGGCTGTGGGGGTTGCTCACTATGTTTATAGACAAAGTGAAAGAACGATTGCTCGCCCGATCTTTTTTATTCTTCTCATCGTCATAACTATTATCAATCTTTTCTTTTTTGCGTGGTTTATCGCTGGAAATATTTGGGTTTTCGGAGCCAGTGCTAATGGCGTACAAAGTAGTAATCCTACGAATTCGGCAACATACTGTCAATCAGATATGTATCGTGCTGCGATTGTGCTTATTATAGCGAGATATATCGTCGTTCCCATCATTATTATCATTGTCATCGTTGTGCGTTGCTGCAAGAAAACTAAATAGAGATCACTTAATTAATCAGCGAAACATTTAACTTATTTCAATATGATTCAAATTCATGATATATGTCTCCTGTTTAGGTACTGATAAATAAATGTGAAACACACAATTCAGTAGAGCTTTGAAATGAATTAATACATATCGAAAAGCGACGGAAATCAAAGGCTGATATATAAAGCGGTATTTTAGGAATTCATCCTTTTACAGTGTTTCCTTTTGGAAAGAGAACTGGATCTTAAAAGGAACCGATTCAAGATGCAATAGGATCTTAAATTTTATTCCATTAGAGTAGCTTTTAATCGATTATGATTTATCGTCGAATCCAATATGGTTCATAACTGTATGCATATGTGATGGCATTAAGTATTACTAACCTCGCCTATCAAAATTCTGAACCTAATTTTATTATTCTGAGAATGAACATTGAGTGTTGATTATTTTGGGTTATATCACAGGTCTCTTTTTACGCCTGGCTCTCGATCTGATATCTGGCAGAGTTTTTATTATCTTTCTTCTTCATACCCTTATAGTTCGACAGCAATAAGTATTCTTCCTCCCTTGGACATGAGTGAAGAAAAGTCGTGTAATAATACATTCTCAAATTCTGATTTTCCTGTCGCACAGTTTCGTTAAATTCTAAACTAATTGAAGTGTATTCATTTAAGATTATTCTATCTTAATTTGTTGGGCCATCTTTCAATTCGTTAGAAGGCGAAGTCAATTTGATCAATATTACACGAATCATCTTCTGCATTTTTTCTATTGTTTCCGAAGATCGTGTAGTAGTTTTCTCTGCTGCTGCAATTGCTTTTTTTTTTTATAATATTCGAGTGCCGCTTTAAAATCATCATTTAAAAATAATAAATCGGCAATATTTTCATACGCTGTTGAATGTTCATTGGAATTTAACGGTTCTATAATTAGAAGAATTTCAAGAAATTGCTCTGTTATTCATGTCATAATGAACCGCAGTCATCACATTATATATTCGTAAAAGATCTTGATTATTTTGTATGGAACACCGCCTTTGAATTTCAAGAGATTTTTCATAATTTTCCAATGCAAGATTACTGTTATCGGTCGTTCGATAAACATCATCAATATTTAAATACCTTCTCGAAGAAAATGGATGATCCGATGCCGATGTGCTAAATGCTTTATTGTAATTTATCAAAGCTCCCGTATAGCTTCCATTAGCAGCATAAATTAAACCTATACTACTATAGGCAATAGGAAAGTCAAAATGATTTTCTAGGAAAAAAATTTGTCATAATTTCTGCATAGTTTTTCAAAGCTAATGAAGAATTTTCAAGGCGATAATATATCGAACCTATATTATTGTATGTTAATGCGATATCAGAATCGGCTTTTGATGGTAAACATCTAAGCTGTATTCAAGGGCTTTTCATAATTTTCTAATGCCCCTTCATAGTTTTCTTCGCTCTCGAAATATACCGTATCAATATTATTATAAGTAGTTGCAATATCTAAATGATCTGCAGGTAACGAGACAGATTGTATTTGAAGCGCCTTCTCGAAGTTTTCCATCGCAAGAGTATAATCACAGCAACGTAGATACGCTAGGCCAAGATTACTGTGCATAATCCCCGAATTGGATGATTTTCAGATATTCCTAATGTCGTCAGCGATTTTCTTGTTATTTCAATAGCTGATTTAAAATCACCTTTATCTATATAAATCATTCCTATATTTGCATGTGTAATAGCTAGCGACGGGATGATCAGGTGAAAGAGCAATTCGATAAATTTCATCGACAATCTGGTAGCTCTTTAATGCAGGATCATAGTTACCCATTTGATGACGAATTTCGCCGATTTTCAGATGAGTACTTGCTAGCTGTGGATGATTTTTTAGTAAAGTATCTTGCTCAAGTGTTAATGCTTTTTCGGAGTGTTTTAAAACTAATTGATATTCGCATTTAAAACAACATAACACAGCAATATTATTGAATACATTTGTTATATCAATGTGGTTATCAAAAATATGATCAAGTGCTTTCTCAAAGAAATTTAGCGCTTCGTCATATTTCGCATTATGTATATAAATAATTCTAATATTATTATACAATAAACCAAGATCATGCCGACGACCATCATGTTTATTAGACGGCACCTCAACAGTTTGTTGAAGCAGTTGCATTGACACTCTTGTCTTATATTTTTGCATCGCTTTCTCATAACGTCCTTCGTGATAATCGAGCAGACCAATATTGCTTTGAGTGACGCCAGCAAGTTGATTTTGAGGGAATGGTTCTAAGTAGCTAAGAAATAATTCAGAAAAATGTCTAGCTTTTTCATACTCGCCCATTTCAGTTAGCACATCAGCCAGAGCCAATAGGATTGGCTTTGTTTCGACGACATATTTACTAAAATGTTCAACAAGTCCCTTTAATTCGATATTTTCACCATTACTCAATTCTAATGCGACATGCCAAATAGTTCCATTATCTTCAACAGATTTGATTCGAAATACAGTTCCCACACAGAATAACATTTCATACTCATCCTTGATGAAACTTAAATGCTGTACACTTCCAAACGGCTTTTGCCGATAGTGAACAACAGTCAACATGGATTTCGAACAAAACGGATTCATCATCTGGCCGTCCGAAACCATTACCAGTAAAATTCAAGGCAACTTGACTTTGTAATGTTGTAGAAAAAAATGTGTTGGTCGAAATTAGTTCACCAACATTTTCTTTTAAATTTTCAAATTCGTCATGATGCATCAATTATCCACGATATACCGTAATTGACGAAAGATCTTCGCTTTACTGCAACCGAACATCTCGCAATTGATTATATAAATGTTTGATAAAATATCGGAATTTGTATATTATATTTATATTTTGTATTCGAAATACTTTGTTCAGTAAACGGTACAAAAGTGAGTTTCGTGTGTACCACGATATAGCCCGTTCGGTAATGTATGTTTTATAAAAATCTAAAATTCTTTTAAGTTCAATTTCGTTACCATCATATTGCGCTACACACTCCTAAAACATATAATCTTAGGCCTTGTCAGAATATTCGCCATGAAGTGAAGTATCAATTAATAATTGAAACCACATAAATTGTGCACGTTGCTTATTTCAATCCTTCATACTCATTTCTTTCAAATTTAAATCGTCATACTTGTGAAAATATTCAATGGTGAAATGTTTTTTTAGAGATAATTTAACATTATCATTGATTTCAACTAAAAGTATCAGTAAATACACCACGAGTTTTCGATGCATCATTTTTATGCAAAGCCCATTCTTCATGTTCGACTTTTATTGAAGCAATATATATATAAATATACAACAACTAAGGAAAATGATAGATAGTTGGCATCAGTTTTTTGTTCTTGAGAAGCGCATGTAATAAAAACTACGCTTTCAGCTTGAATAGCTTTAATATAATCAAGACATTCATTCGCATCACTAAATTTTACATTATAATTGATGATTGGACTCAGTTGAGCTCTTCGATCACAAGATGTTTGATCGCAATCAGCATACTTAGAGCCAAACCACACAGCAGAGAACTGCTCGTGATTCTGAGTCATGTTTTGGAAAAAAAAGAATTTTCAGTTACAAATAAATTCTTTTGAACATAATACCAAAACATAAACATAGCGTGTGAGAATTTTGCTTGTTGTATTCTCTCTGTTCTGTTATCATTTTATGAATACTGGCTGCTGCAGGAACAAATCAAATTTGCGAAGACGACTGTCGCTATGGTTATTTTATGAATTGGGTGTGTGGTATGAGTGTGACTGTACGCTTCTTACCGTCAGCTACGCGCACGTATAACTACATTTGGACGCCAGAGTCTTTTAGTATGTAAATATCATCTTAGTTTCATCGGCGTTGGAACGAGTATTTTGCGAGCTTTAGTCTTGAGACCATCGTCCAGATGTATAAGAGAGAAATTCTATAATTCACTTATTTATTTTCTACTTTCAGTAACTTCAATATATCGTTGATTATAAAAGAGAAATTCTATTTAGAATAATTAAATTCATTCTTTTCCTTTATACATTGCAGCAATTAGTAAATAACAGTTGAGTGATAGCTTTTGCTCACTCCTAAAAGCATATGATTAATTTATGTATATCATACTGTATACAGACAATAGCCTTAATATTTTCATTTACTTTGAATAGGTGGATTATTTTAAAAGATGGCCGTATGCAAAGACAATATTATTAGGTAAATTACGTTGAAATTAATAATATTTCGTGAAACTTGCATATTCCATCGTTGGTTGAAAAATATTATAGAGTCAATTTATAAGATGTTTAAATTGTATTTTTCTCTCATTGTGAATATTTTAGTTTTCTTGCTAACGAATACCTAAATATTATGCTTGAATCACCAGACGTAAATGAAACTCAAACATACGGCTGTCTGAATCACCAAAAAAATTGTATGAAAAGCTGTTTTTTGAGTTATTATTTATCGAATAGAAATGATTCAGGTAGTATTGACAAATTTTGAGATTGTGCAATAATAAGTATTTTATTAAATAAATACTAATAGATGTAATCAAAACTATTAGTTGATTAGAAAATAGTTTAGGAAAGAAAATACATTAATATTATTAATTTGTTTATATTTCATGATTTTTCTTTTCTTGTAACATATAGAACTATAATTACTTAGAAAATTGTATGACTGGCTGAAAATACAAATTACTGTTAGAAATATTTTGAATATTTTCTTTTAGGCTACTGGCATGGATAGGATATTTTTTTAGTTGATTATTTTTAATTTAATTAAATCATTAAAGAGGTTATTCATATAATGGGCAGGATATGCGTGTGCTTCCATGGGAATTCCACCGTCAAAACACAAATAAAATTAATGATAACTCAATTGGATTTTTCAATTTAAATAACTCATCAGTAAAACGGTTTCATTGCCATCACTTTCTGATACGGAAAATTGCCATAAAATATTAGCTTTTTATTTTAACGCAACAACGAACATATTTAGCATAGTGTTGTACGCAAAGCGAAGATAATAGGAACGCTCACACCCACACCCGCAGGTCTCCATTCCTGGCACAAACATGTTTTCTCTTTTTTCTCCAATTCATTCTGTAACGTTTGTAAGGATTCCTTCTCTTCTCTTATATTTTATTGATTTAATAAGCTAATATTAATTACAAAGCGAGCTTCTTGAATTGACAAAGTTCAAAATAAATAATAGCAATAAGTCTAATGACATCGCATTTTAAATTTCATCGACATAATAAATTCATACAATGCTTTTCGAAACACAGTTCCACCACACAATGTGTAAACATAGAATGTTATACCATTTGATATATCGTATGCCAAAATGGCTAAATCATATACGAAGGCATTAGTAGCTAATACCAGCGGAGATCCTTGATCGCCAGAGAATGATGAATAAAATTTGTCAAGACACAACGGAAAAGTGAAAATGCCAGTGAGAATAACTTGAGAAAAAAGCATTCGAAGAAGACTACGATCTGTTTTCTGTCTGAATTTTCCCACTGAATTTTCACTATGTGATCCCAACGGCCTTTTCGTAGAGGCTCCGGCACTCCCTAATTGTAGTGTTTGAATACGATGTTGAGATTGACGTACGTTTGAAATAATTAATGAACCAAATAAAATCATGAGCAATATAGGAATTGATACTGTAATTATAGCAAGTGATAGATCAGTGAGATAACGGCATACAACCGTTTTACCATAACATTTCAGAGGAGTATCCGTCAGATTGGCTTCATAACAGTACAATTGTTGAGCATAGAGAGCAACTGAAAGAATGACAATAATTGCTGCCCAAAATTGGGCATTCTTCAGTGAGCTTTGCTGTCGACGATGAGCATTCATATTTGATAATAGCCATCGATCAGTGGTGGCTAATACCATTAACCACATAGCGATTGTTCTTGTTGAGAAGACAAGAAAAGCGCGAAGTTTGCAAAGTACTCCAATATAATCAGTTGGATTGGTCGTCCAACCATCAATCATTATTGTGATAAGACCAGATATGAGAGAGACGAGATTAACAATGGACAATACCAAAAAAAGCCAAGCACATGAATTAGAACGATATGATCGTTGCGAGAGAACAAGAATATTGAGAATATTGCCCACGACACCAAACATAAAAATAAAAACTGCCAGAGAACGATTGAATTCCATTGTAATTTTGTTGAATAACTCGATAAGGAAATCGTCATGTGATACGTTAGACATCTTTCTCTTTTAAAATAGCGGACACTGTTGTACTAAAAAGACACGAGAAAAGTATGAATCTTATTGTGTAATGCGAACTTGACGTATTTTTTGAAAGTAGATGATATATCGAGAGTACTCATACCGTTGATATAGAACTTTTAACTTCAAATGCAAAAGTTGAACTATGTCATATCAATAACAAAATATATAATTTTCATAACCGATTCTAATATATCTTCTTCGAGCTATCGATTTTTAATACAAAAAATAAGTATAAAATATGCTTCTAGTTAAAAGTTCTACTGATCAATGTGTCGCAAAGTATAATACTTACGTAGACTGGTGTGAATTAATAAAAGTGAGAAGCACTTATATATTGGTTGGTTAATCCTTTCTTCTCTATTTTTTCTCTTTGTATCTATTGCTCTTTTTAGATTTCAACATAGAAAACTCTCCGTTCCAGGCACGCTGATCTCAAAAGTAGAACCTGATAAGATATATATATATGCAACTAAAATCAACCAATGATGTGCTAGTTAATAATTTATATATGTGGGTTTTCATTTGAAACATTGGCTTAGCTTAATTATAATTATCGTGACGAAATAACATTATTCTAAATCGTTTCTATCATCATTTTAGGAGAGAGAGAAGCCATATATTTATGTCTAACATGAAATGTAGTTTAAATTGTAAACTTCTTCGAAAGATGCTCTGTGAAACGCTCTAAAAAAGTTTATATCGGCGAATTCGTTTTGATGATTTTTCTTCTACTGAAGATGAACGATTTGCCGTCATTTTCCGTCAAATAGAAAATATTTCTAGGGTATTTTGAACCCGATATCAAATTTGGTCTTTACTAGTTTAATAGAGCTTTTCGTGGAGCCTGTTTCGGAGAAGAATTCAAGTTTTTGCTATTTACCTAAGCGAAGAATTATGCGAAATAATTCAAAAGAAACTTTTTTTCTAAGACACTCTTTTAACTTTTAACTGCATCTTGATGTTAAATATAAATATATAAAAAGATGCAACTCTTTCCGCGTTTTCTCCCTATAGTATGTAGTAGGTTAACAGATACAAAAGGATATATTTTCAATTTTCCTCGACGGTATCAACAAAGAATTATCTTCTGTAAACAATCAATATTAACAGAGTACATTATAATAGCTTGTGCAGTTAAGAAAGATCTCGTTTGTGTTGGTTTTCTCGATAGATGATAGCAGATTTTCACCAAAAGTGATCTACACAACAAGTCACGGGAAACAAAAATATCTTTATAGGTGTTCTATTGAATTTGTATTCTTAGAAGATGCTATTAGCTTTAGCCATTTGTGATCAAATATAAGGATACGGATTTTACTGGATAGCTTATTATAATGAAGCTGAATTGGACTGAGAAACTTTGCTCGCTATTATAGTATGGAAAGAATTTCAAATTAATACAATATATGAGTGAAACATAATCTGTTATTTCAAAGACCGAAACAGGGCGAAGCACATATCAATGCCTGGCTGGCTAGTAAACATAATTCTCGCTTATGGCACCTCTTACTTATGCTAGTGAGATTTCCTTAGGGTTTTTATGTTTTAAAACAGGATGATTTCGTTGAAAATTGTATGCCTATTGTATAATTATGACTTATCAGAAACACAATTTTTCAAAACTTTACCGTTTCGTTCCTACTGATGTCAAAATGGATATATTTCGTTGAATATTCTATACACAATGTCAAAAATAATCATTTCATTATTCTTCAATGAGAAAAGTATGAAGCTATTGCTTTTAATAGTTTCATATTGTAAATGCTGAAAGGCGAAACTAATTACAACTAAAATAAATCATTGAGACAATCTTATAAAAAAAAAGATGATATCACCGAAATAAACTGATTTAGTAATATATAAAAGTATTAAATTTTCTGTCGCAGTCAAAACTATGCTTCTACGACAAGATACTAGTAAGATAAATTTAGAAAAATATCACCGGATTTTGTGAAGAATACCAATTACATTTGCAAGCGTATGTTTTAAAAAAATGATATTATTTTAATGGAATGTTTCAAAAGAATTATCTATCTTGTAGTAAAAGATTGTTTTACAACTTAATGCAATAGGAATAAGAAAACATTTCATGACCAGCAACAATTACACATGAAAATACTTGTTTGAAATAATAGATTATTATGACCTTGAGCACTTAGGCATGCACTTGCAGTACTAATAAAAATAACTAGTAGTGAAATCAGGACATTTTTTATGTGGGATAAGTTGTGTATATGAGATGGATGCTGAATTGCTGGTCAAGTTGATTATTGATATTTCAGTATATTTCTATTAGAGAACGAGTAATAGAAAATAAATATATTACTTTTTCAGAATCTCTTTTTATATCTAATAGATACGTGAGGCTCAGTTTTGAACCATGAATTGACCTTCAAAGGGCGTGGAACGTCTTCTTTGCATTCACACCTACCAGAGACCGAAACCGATGACAAAAGTGCCATTCGATTCGATTCGGGTTTTCTGGTCTTTTTAAAATTGTAATTCGATTCGATTCGGATTTTCTGATCTTTTTAAAATTGTAATTCGATTCGATTCGGCTAAAAACACGAAAAAAATCAATTCGATTCGATTCGATTCGACTCAAATTGGGTTTAAAAAATATGGTATTCACTATTACATAGTATTGTTGTTTTCAGACTGTCATCTTAGAATGAGAATAGTCTGTCGATCTTCTATAGAAATATGTTGAATAAATATAATTTATGAAGATATACATAAGAATTATTCATTTTTTTCAAGAAAGAACACATAAAATATAAATTAATTAACACATCTAAGTAGACTAATTAAATAAGTTTATTTTCTATAGAACGAAGAAAAATAATATCATTTACTGTATATGGATCTATATTTACAGTTGACCATAGCCATACTTAATAAATAAAGAGGTTGATATCAAGACCCCAATCGCACTGGAAATGTGAATGTGAATAAAGTTAAAGTCTTATTCAGTAATCTAATTGATACATTAAGAGTTAAAATCACCTCTAAAGTATTACTTAACTCTTAATGCACCAGTCACATGGCTTAATTCAACTATAATGTTAATTTACTTCTCAGTGTGATTGGGGCCTAAATTGACTAACGAAAAAAGAAAGAAAGATGGAACACTCGTTGTAAGTGAGCATTTCTTATGCCAATCAAAATGCACTTGACCATGATAACGATATGAACAGAACAGGGATGACCATTAAATAAGCACGACTGACAGAAACAAAGAAAGAGAAACAGTGGACGTCCTTTTTCATGCGTCATCTCTTATACTAGTCAACTGCCCTCGACCATAACACCAGAACAAAGAAAATGATTTTCAATAGCCGAATGAAACTGAAAAAAAACGAATCGATTCGATTCGACCTCTTTTCTAGAAGTATCATTCGATTCGATTCGGCTTTTTTTCAATTATTTTTTTATTCATTCGATTCGATTCGGTAGTTTTGAAGTTCCATTCGGAATCGATTCGATTCGCCCCAGACGAATCGAATCGAATCGAATTATTCGGCAATTCGATTCGATTTCGGTCTCTGACACCTACATCCATAATTAAATTCATTCTTTTATTTTATTCTGAATAGAAGGCAATTTTTTAAAAGATGACCGTATGCAAAGACAATATTATTAGGTAAATTACGTTGAAATTAATAATATTTCGTGAAACTTGCATATTCCATCGTTGGTTGAAAAATATTATAAAGTCAATTTATAAGATGTTTAAATTGTATTTTTTTCTCATTGTGAATATTTCCGTTTTCTTGCTAATGAATACCTAAATATTATGCTTGAATCACCAGACGTAAATGAAACTCAAATACAGTAGAAGACATAATAAAATTCATTGGCATGGTGACTCTATCCATGGATGACAACAGATTTCTAAAAAAAACATTTAATTGATTAGTTATCTAAACGTACGTATGTGTTACGCAAAAATATTGGTTAGCGATTCTTCATGATATGAATTATAAAATCAGTGTAGCGAAGTTTCATTTTTTTTTTGTAAATATTATGGTCTACAGAAGTGGATTTTTATTTAAAACTGCTCTTTCTACAAAATTTATGTCTAATATACGCTATTTTCATTTCAATATCAAATGACGTCAGTCACATAAAATATGGTAACTTTACAACATAACGGTTTCGCTTGGTGGTTGTCTGAATCATCAAAAAAGTTGATATGTAAAACGAGTTCTTTTTTTAGCTAGTATTTATCATATAGTTTAGGAAAGAAGAGACATTAATATTATTAGTTTTTTTCATTTCACGATTTTTCTTTTCTTGTAACATATAGAACTATATTTTATCAGAAAATAATGATTTAAAATACAAATTACCTTTAGGAATTCCACCATAAAAACACAAATTATTTTAATGACAATTCATTCTGATTGTTCAATTTAGATAATTCATCAGTGAAATGGTTTTATTATCATTATTTTGTCAGACGAAAAATGATTACAAAACTATTGTTGGTCTAGAAGAAACATTTTCTCTGAAACTTATTATTATCATAAATATAAGAACTACTCGACTTTGCATGACGAATGGCTATATCAGATTAGTTGTATGAATTCTGTTATCATACAATAATTCTATATTGTATTTTTTTCAATAATATAAATATTGTTCAATGTATATGGCAGAATGAAGTTCGTCCATTTTGTTTGCGTTTCTCGTTTATGAGATTAACATTGACTTGGAACAGTAAAGGCTCGATTTTTAACAGTATAAAGTTGGTCATGATAGTTGACAAATAAAAAAATCATAAAATAATATTGCAGACACGATGAATAATCGTGTAATGCATTGGTCTCGAGGAGCAACACATGCCAGTGTGGTTCTTGATGAAAATAGGAATGGGACAGGAGCAAATCAGCTACACTAACCGCTGGTTTTGACTTTCGATCGACTTGGCAATCTCTGTGTCTTGGATCGGTTCAATTATCATGTTCAACAATTTTCTATCGAATTGACTTGTGAATTGTTTCTTTCTTCTCTGTTAAATAAATGAAATTACTTGAAAACGAATTCGTTTCCTGTGTTCCGGACAGAAAAATCTATGCTACTTCGCTTGATGATGTCGATTTAAAAGGAAAGCAATAAAAATGTATTAACGAATGTTTATATGTAATTATCAAATGTTTAATCAAGTAAATTTGTTATAAAATAAAATCTAGCTAGTATATACAGCGCTATTTTGATATATTATCCAAGACGAAATCTACTAGCCAGATTCCGTGGTGTTATATGTTATAGATGGTGCTAACAGTACTATAGTAGTTATTGATTTGTTTTCGTTAGTTGCCAATACCTTTTAAATATTATTATTTTCTTCAGCTCGCTGCACACAAACTGTGCAGAAAATCGAGGAATCTCGTTATTGTATATTGATTGATTTGAAAATATATTTATTACTTGTAGATGATTTCACGATTAAGTGTATCAACACTATCACGATTGTTGTGTTCAAATTGTGCTCCAGTAATTTTGAAATTTGTTTTGATTAACTTTCTATTAGATATAAAAAATGTTTTGTTTATCTTGTGTATTAGATTTCATCAGTTACTTATCAACATCGATCAGCTTCTACCAATTCGAATCTCAATGTGAATATTTGTGTTTTATTTCAAGAGAAAATTTTATTCTATTTGTAAAAATAGGAAGTTGTTATAGTCAGTGCTGCTCGTACGCCCATTGGCTCATTTCGTGGAAGTCTTGCATCTGTATCAGCCACTAAACTCGGTGCTACAGCTATAAAAGCATGTTTAGAACGTGCAAGTACGACAACAATTTATCCATCTCTACATATGTTGAATTAAATATCTTGCAGAAATACCAGCGAATCGTATACAAGAAGTTTACATGGGTAATGTTGTTCAAGCTGGTACTGGTCAAGCGCCAGCACGACAAGCGTCAATTTATGCTGGTTTACCACAGGAGACTATTTGTACAACAGTGAATAAAGTATGCGCCAGTGGTATGAAAGCTATTATGATTGCTTCGCAAAGTCTCATGTGTGGGCATCAAGATATAATGATTGCTGGTGGTATGGAAAGCATGTCAAATGTGCCGTACTATCTTGCACGAGGTTTGAATGAATAATTTTCATTGAATTTAAATCAAAATTTATTTTTTTAGGCGACACACCTTACGGCAATATTCAATTAGAAGATGGCATTGCTAAAGATGGTCTAACCGATGTTTACGATCGAGTTCCAATGGTAAATATATAAATGAACGAGTTTTTTCTCTTTACTTTTAAGGATGTAATTCTAGGGTTTATGTGCAGAAAAAACGGCTAAAAATGAAAAATTCAGTCGTGCAGATCAAGATGCTTATGCTAAACAATCCTATGAACGAGTAGCTAAAGCATGGAAAGAAGGAAAATTTAATGCTGAAATCGTTCCGGTTACTGTGACAACAAAGAAAGGTGAAATACTTGTGAAAGAGGATGAAGAATATAAGAAAGTTGATTTTGAAAAAATGAAAACGGTAAACAGCAAAAAGTCTTTTCAATTTTTCTCAATTTTATTTTATTTCAATAGTTAAGAACTGTTTTTCAAAAAGATGGTACAATAACAGCAGCGAATGCATCGAAAATTAATGATGGTGCTGCTGCATGTTTATTAATGACACGTCGAGCTGCTGAAGAACTTGGTTGTAAACCGTTGGCTCGTATTGTTGGTAAGAAATTATGCCAATTGATTTAAAATTTATTCTTCAATAAAGCCTATTTAAACTATATCTAATGCTATTTTTAGCTTTTGCCGACGCTGCCGCGGCCCCAATGGATTTCAGTACAGCACCAGCTTTGGCTATTCCTAAAGTAAAGAAAAATCTATGATATCGTTTTCATTTCATTAAATTCATTTAGCTTTTGAAATTAGCCAATGTTCATAAAAATGATATTGCCATGTGGGAAATCAATGAAGCATTCAGTGTCGTCGCATTAGCTAATGGCAAATTAATTGGCATTAGTAATGATAAATTGAATATACATGGTGGTGGTGTTGCACTTGGACATCCAGTTAGTACAAGCTACTTGTAGTTCTATAAGTTTTTCTCTAATTAAATGTTTCATAGATTGGAATGTCTGGCGCACGACTCGTCGTTCATTTATGTCACAGTTTAAAACCAGGCGAAAAAGGCGTTGCCGGAATCTGTAATGGTGGTGGCGGTGCATCGAGTATTATGATTGAAAAACTTTGAAAATTTTTTCCTTAATGTTTTTTATTTTGAATAAAGATTTCCTGAGAAATAAATAGATAAACGTACAACTATATATTTCCTTTTTTTTTCTTTTCTCGATTAATGTCAACTATTCGAGTTCGTTCTTTATTGCAACAATGTACCAAAGCTACATTACGTCTTCAGGATGAATCTGAAGTTACTGTAAGTGAATATTCAATTTACAAAAGAAAAACAAAAAGTTTTATTTGCTATTTGAGATTAATCGTGGTATGGTTATATTTGTGGCTTTTTTGAAAGATGCTCAGTTGGATGATGTTATTAAACTGGGTATGAAGAAAAGAATAATTCTTCGACTTCTATTTTCAATTCGAAATTTTAGCGAAAGAAATTGCTACAGTGAGATTATGCGACAGTGAGAATGGATTGAAAACGATTGTTGATTTACCAGGTGATCTTTTGATTATTCCGCAAGCAACATTAGGTGGTCGTCTCAATGGACATCGTTTTCAATATCATAGCAATATAAATAAAGATGTTGGCTTAGAATTCTATGATAAATTCGTTGCAACTCTACGTGAATTGTGTAGTCAAAATAAAGATAATATTATACATGCAGGCTCATATGGAATAAGACAGATTTATTCATGTGAAACGAATGGACCTGCAATGCATATAATAGAATTTTAACAAATAAAATAGATGATTTCTTTTCTTTTCTTTTTTCTAGATAAATGAATGAGATTAATTTCGATTGTATTTAAAGTAGCTATGCATCGAGTGCTTAATGTTGCTGAAAAAAACGATGCAGCTAAATCGTTAGCTCGTCTGCTTTCAAAAAATTCAGCATCGATGGTAACGTATTTCCTCGTATTGTTTTGAGCTGAATGATTGCACATACCAATATTTTTAGCGTGAAGGGTTTTCAAGATTTAATAAAATTTATGAATTTAATTATCAACTTTTTAATCAACCGGTACAAATGATTTTTACATCGGTGTCTGGTCATATTATGAATTGTGATTTTACGGCAGCACATAATAGTTGGTATGAAATTATTTTAGAACAATGAGTCATAGCTAAGATGACTCATCTTTATCGATCTAAAATTTGAAAAATTAAAAAACGACACATTTTAGGGCACAAACCGATCCAGTTATTTTATTTGATGCTACAATTCAAAAGAAAGTTACTGATCGTGCACTGGATATTGAAGTATGATATTAATTTTTTGATTCCACTGAAACGATCATATTTTTGTTTTTATAGAAAACCATAAAACGTGAAGTCGTCAAATGTCAAACGTTAATTATTTGGACTGATTGTGATCGTGAAGGAGAAAATATTGGTTTCGAAGTAATTAATTTATGTCGACCTTTAAAAGCCAATCTTAAAATTTATCGAGCTCGATTTTCTGAAATAACATTTAACAGTGCAACTCGTGCTTTAACAAATCTAATACAACCGGACGAACGTGTCAGTGCCGCTGTCGATGTTCGGCAAGAACTTGATTTACGTATTGGTGCAGCATTTACACGTTTTCAAACTTTACGTTTACAACGACTATTTGGTTTCGATTCAAAACAAGTCATTAGCTATGGTTCATGTCAATTTCCAACGTTAGGGTTTATTGTTGAACGTTATCTTCAACGAGTAAATTTTATCAGTGAACCATTCTGGAAAATAGCTGTCGAACATCAAACTGAAGCAGGAGAATTTTGTGAATTTACATGGGAACGTAATCGTCTGTTTGAACATCAACCATGTTTAGTGATCTATGATATGATTATGGATGAACCATTGGCAAAAGTAATGGATGTCAAATCAAAAAATAAATCAAAATGGAGACCTGCTGCACTTGATACTGTTGTATGTGAACTTTTCGTTTTGCTAAGAAAACTATTTTTAATTGAAAATATTTTTTTCGTTAGGAAATGGAAAAACTTGCCAGTAGAAAGTTACGTATGACTGGTAAAAAGACAATGGAAATTGCAGAAAAACTATATATGAAAGGTTTAATTAGTTATCCTCGTACAGAAACAAATATATTTCCAACGGAAATTAATCTTCAACCACTTGTACAAAATCAAGCGAATGATCCACGTTGGGGAGCATTTGCTCAACGTGTACTTAATGAGGGACCCCGGCCACGCAATGGGAAAAATACTGATAAAGCCCATCCTCCTATTCATCCGACACGATATCCCGATGGGCAATTAACAGTAAGATTTTTCTTTCGTTTATCCTGCGATTAAGGAAAAAATATTTGCATCTCAATTAGACATAATTGCCTTTTTTTAAATTAAACTTAGGATGACGAAAATAAATTATATGAATTAATTGTTCGACATTTTCTTGCTTGTGTTTCAAAAGATGCACAAGGTGATGAAACAACAATTAAAATTAGTATTGCAAATGAAAATGTATGTTTATTTAGAATTTTGTACGTGTTAATATTTCATAGTGAACATTTAGTTTAATGCATCTGGTTTAATTATTCGCGAAAGAAACTATCTTGATGTTTATGTTTATGATAAATGGTCAGAAAAGGTAAGATTAAAACTATTGAAACATTTGCCTAATTTATTTTCTTGATATCTGAATAGGAACTGCCACATTATGAATTGAATCAAACATTTTATCCGACAAAAATTGAAATGATACAAGGTGAAACAACAGCACCACAATTATTAACTGAATCTGATCTTATTGCTCTAATGGAAAAACATGGAATTGGTAAATTGAAATGATTGTTTTTATTTTTAATGAAAAGAAAAATGTAGGTACGGATGCAACACATGCTGAACATATAGCGAAAATTCAAGATCGACTTTATACAAAAATGAATTCCGAACGTCGATTTGAACCGGAAAAATTAGGTCTTGGTTTATGTGAAGGTTATGATAAAATGGGTCATGCTCTGTCCAAGCCACATCTTCGTGCCGAACTTGAAAATCAACTAAAAGCGTATGATTCAAAAAAACGCAATAAACTGTAAAATTTATTTATAAATTATTTTTAGAATTTGTGAAGGAAGAGCAAACCCAGCTGGTAAGATTTCTAACGAACATATTCATTTTCAATGAGAAAAACAAAAAAATGAATCGCCAGTACTCATAATTACATTTGCCATAAGACTAAAATTGATAATTTGGTGGGGTCTATGAGAGGCGTACTTTGCTATTGATCTAATCGATAAGAAAAATTCGTCGAAATAAAAACGAGCATGATTAAATCACTTTTCTCCTAGTGTCCAATGTGAATATTCTATAAATAGATGAGAATGAATACTCATGATCTTACGTTTTTTATGCAGCACGTGTAAATTGCTAACTTGCGTTGGTTTCTAAAATACAAATACAACAATTTAAACTATACTAGATGTACTTCGAGAACAAATTGATAAATATCGACAAGTATTTATTGCTACATCAGTACAAATTCAGAAACTTGACGATTCCATGACTAAATATTTTGGTCCACCGGGTCAAAATCCGCCACCACCACCTCCACCTCGTCCACCACCATCAGGACCTTTTGGTGATCGTACCAATCGAAACCAACCACCACCCCCAAGACCAAATCCAACTAATAGGCAAGATTTTTCAATAGTTCTATTTCTTCATTCTTAAATACTAATTTCAGAGCTCCACAAACTCCACGTAATAATAATAATAATAATCAACCAGCTAGGTAATTTAATTTTTCATTATTATCTCTTGCTAATGTAAATTTCATTTAGACCTCAACAACCAAGGCCACCACCTCCTGCTCGGTAAATAACTAATTTGAATTTAATATTTAATTAATTTTCTTTCTTTAGGCCATTACAACAAGAGCAAATCCGTCCCACAAATAGTACTGGTGTACCTAAATGCAATTGTGATGCTGATGCTAAAGAATTAACAGTGAAGAAAGGTAATGCTTTTGTTTGTTTGTTTGTTTCAATTTCAATTTCAATAAGGGAAATTTTAGATGGTCCAAATAAAGGTCGATCGTTCTTTCGATGTGGAAACAATGACAATTGTAATTTCTTTGCTTGGAAAGATGAGTATGTTCTTCTAAATAATATTTCCAAAACTCAAAACAAAACTTGATTTTAGCGCAACGCCTAGTAATGCCGGAGGTGGTCAACGACAATTCGGAGATAATCAAGCAAATTCATTTCGTAAACGGCGACAGTCAGATAATGATGATGATACAAAACAACGAAAATGTGGTCTTTGTAAACAAGCAGGTAAGAATTTAAGTCATATCTAACAATGAATCAAGTAAAAGTCTTTTGTTTCAAGGTCATACACGTCGAAATTGTCCATCGTTAAACTTGTGATATATTGCTACTTTCTTTTCATGGAATAGAAGCAGGCACCTATTTATTTTTGTCTCTGTCAGATATTTACTTTATTATTGCTTATTTTTTGATTGATATTAAAGTTGACAAGTAACGATTAGTTTTTGTTTCTTTCTTACGCCAACCAATCTCCGATTACAATAAGTATTTTTATAAATACTGCCATTACTTTTCTTTGGCCATCAACTTTCTCATTTTACTAATAAAGAGCAAAGTCCTTTAAATAATCGATTAAAGTTAATTTGATATCGAGATAGTATTTCATCATTTCTTACATCATATCTGCACTTTCACCCTACCTTGCATAGTTTCAACTCGTGACATTGACAATAATTATCAACTCAATAAACGTACATTTTCCAGCTGTGGAGTAGAGAAAAAACGCACAGCAAGTTATTTTAAAATTTGTGAGAAAATCGGCACTTTGTTGCTTTTTTCATATACATGACAGTGGCGGATCTACCAGTTAGGCTGCCCGGCGATCGCCACCCCCCTTAAGAAATGTTTTTCGATTTTCCACAGCAGAAATGAAACAGAAAATAGTCGTTCTGCCTCAGATAGACTTGAAAACCCGTTTTTGACCAGGAGCGCCACTCCTTAACATATTTTCTGGATCCGCCACTGATATATGAATAGCCTTTAAGTTAGACAAACTATGATATTTGCACATATTAAGGCTAGTCATTAGATGATCTCTAGGATTAATCGTACTATTGACAAATATTATTTTAAATACATATTGTAAATAGTTATACTTCTAACATTAGATAGTTACTTGATTAATCATCAAAACTTTTTGATTTACAAATATTCAGTAAGTAACATTATATTCTTTTATGAAGTTCTAGATTTACTGCTGAATCATAGCTTAACTCCGAGATGAAAACATTGGAGGCCTCTGCACTTTCGTAAGTGACAAAAAGAACACATATTTGACGCCTTTTTACTAACCAGTGAAACAAAAACACGTATTCATAGTTTTTTCTCAACTATTAGTGGTTATTGGTCCAGATTTCACACAAATAGAGTATTTTGAAAGGGAAAAAGCAAACACAAGCGAACAGAGCACTTAACTAGAAAGATACTACAAAAGAAAAACAATGTCATATGCATGTTCTTTCTTTCTCTAAAAAGCGATTTTTTCTTTTTGTGCTTGCTCTTCTTTCTCATTACTTTAGTTCACATCTATGAGATTTAGATTTGATTCCAAGGGGGAAACGGCGAATTTTTGAACTTGAAGTTACTTTGAGCTACTTGGTTTGTACTCTGAGCTACTTCAAGTCCGCCTTTTCCTCCTTGTTTGATTCACACAGAAAATATCTACTCCTTTAATCGGTTCTTTTCTTCTCGTAATTTCCATAGTTACCTGTTCGGATCAATTACAGACAGGGCGTTGACGTGAAAATAAATGTATAATGACCCTCAATAGATTAAATCGTAAGTAATGTTGAATACATACGTAGAAATATATTTAGGATCAATTTTCAATTGGTTCTTGCTGAATGTGAAAAACAGTGCATACAAAATAAGAAAGTTAGATGTTTCTTACTTCATGACTCATGAAAATAAAAATATATTACATGCGTTCTTTCTAAGCAATGTACTAAACCAAAAAGAAACCAGCGTATGATTAATCGCCATACAAGTAAACGAATTAATTAAACGCAAGAGGTTTCTTTTTATTCGACTAGAATTTTATTTGCACATCTTGCTAAAGGAGAGAAATTAGTAGGGCACCTGCGAACATTTTTTTTCTGTTCTGTTTATCTTTCAGGTAACAAAAAAATATATTATGCTTCGTTATATCTTCCTATCACAAATCAGTTATAAAAAGATCGATGTATTCGTGTCGTCAGTTTTTTTTTGTGATTACGAATCCAGTAGAGAGGTATATCTATTTAGTTTCTATTCGTGTATATTTTCTTCATGATTAAATCAGTTAAACAATTTTATCAGGCTTGTATCAAAGAGCACTATGGTGTTATTGCAGTTTTATAGTGTTCATCAGATTCGAATCGATGCTTGAAAAGTTCCTATAACGGATTTTTTTTTATTCAAAAAAGGTTTCTATTGAGAAGAGTAATCGAACATTTCTTGGATTCTGTTAAGATAATAAATTCAATTTCTTTGGTATTAACTAAAAATCGGGGTTAGATGGCCGTAGATATATCTCCGGTATTTCAGTTGCTTATAGACTGTACTGGAGATATCTACGAAACATGAAGGGTATCAATTTTAGTCTAAACACCGCATCTTTAGATCGTTCTCCTTATAAAATAATATTCGAATAGATTAATAATCCAATCAAAAGTGTTTCAACGATCGATTGTATATAAATCATATACTTAAATCGTCAATTTAATTAGAATTTTTTTTATATGGCAAAACATGACGCCACTTTCGTGTCAATAAATGAAAAGTGTGTAATAAAAAAAACATCTAAAGGTAGATTATTATTAAACTTTATGTGTGAAATGAGATGTAAAATTATATTAATATCTTTGACAAGCATATCGATTAATTTCAAGGGGGTAGCTTGTGAGATATTTAAGAATCAACCTTTTTCTGCGCGCGACGTCAAAAAAAAAAAGCACACATAATGCTCTTGTATCTGATGATAAAATCACTGATCTGTAGTTAATTGATGAGCGTAAATATTTAATGAGAAATTTTTCGTGATTCAGGAGATTTTGTTTCATCAAAATAAACGCTGTATTTTTTTGGGCTAGCCCCGATTCATTTTGTTTTCTATACTGTAACGGTGGTGATATGTGCACATTACTGATATAATTTGATAAGCGAACTGATGATTTTATATTCTATATTTAGTTCTTTTCTTTAACAAATATTAATAAGTACATTTTTGATGTTTCACGTCTAGTTTTTTGTTTAATTAAAAATGGTTAATTTATGTTTCAGTGACAACAACGTATCTAGAATAATATAAGAACCATAAATGTAAAATTATTCACTAATCATCATTTTCTTTTGTATTATCCACAAGGATAAGTTTCACTTTTGTCCCGTGCCGTTTTTTCTTTTTATGCCTGAATGATTACATTTTCGCTGAATAGCATTGAATTAACGATTGATCTAGTATATTTAGTGCTGTATACACTTGTTTATTTACTTTTATATTTGCTTTGGTAAGGAATACTATTTCCATTCGTTATTACTTTGCATTTATTTTCTCTGTTTGCTGTGTAGCTTTCTTGACCACTGCCACAGTCAATCATTCAATTTATATATACAATTATTTTATGCTTATCGATACTTTTTTTAATGTGTGTTTATTCACATATTATTATTGTTACATTCAGCAATATTGTTTTATACTTATGTCTTACAAGTATCGACAATCTTCGTTATGAAGAAAGAATTTTATTAGTGAATAAAAAAACATTAGAAGTAATCTTCTGTTCAGTAGTCTACAAATATACATTTAACATTGAAGAGACTCTAAGCCAAATAGCGTTTCTTGAATTGTTAATATTATTTAGGGTTACAAGGCAATGATTAGTAATTCAACTACGGTTTGTTCTCGATCGAAACATATGTTTAAGTTAAAGAAATCGTGTAAAACAACATTTTTTTCTTGCTTTCTCATCGCCAATTTACGTTCTCCGTTTATGTAAATCGTATCGTAATCAAGACTATGGCCAGGCGAAGAGAATACATAGATTTAAGTGTCAACACAACATAAAAGACAAAGAATATTCTCGATCATTCTGGCGTTTAGAATAAATTCTGTCGTGGATTCCCTTGTTATTTCTCATGCTCTGTCAATAGCAAATATAAATTTATAAGGGTTACATTTGTTTCTTCTATCGATTACGATCAATTAAATAATTGCATGATATTAGAGGTTTTTATTTCGTTTTAGTGATTCATATTACTTTCCTATGGATAACATTTTTCTTGTAGAAAAATCATTTAGTCTTAGAAAACTAAAAGACTAATGAATGCCTCTTTTTTTATTATAGATCCCAATATCTTTCGTTCTGATCAATAATTTCAACATTTCAAGATAAATATAACTTCGAACGAGCAGCCTTCATTAGAATTTTATGAGTCATGTCATGTGAATTTGACAGGTGTGACTAATTTTAAATGGATTTGATGGAGTACGATAGGGAACACGTCAGAAAAGTGGGTGTGAAAAAAATGCATACACCAAATAAAAAGTAACTTTAAGTGCATGCTTATTTGAGTACTATTTTTACAATAGTAATCAATGTAATAGAACAAAGTTCTGTCATGTTGAACTTCTTTCTCGATGATAGAGCTACAGTTCCTTTTTTTAAAAATAATTCCTGTCTGGAAAGTTATAAAATTTTCTTCTGATCCTATCCGTCTAAAACATTAGCTTTTCTCAAATTCAAAAAATATTTAATATATTGAAACCGACGTCCCAGCAAGTTTTTCTAAAATAAATCAGGTTAACGAAGTAAAAATAAAACTCAACGCTTAAAACGGCTGTTCATTAGATCCATCGGAATCTTCTCTTCTTTCGAACAATCGTTTCTAGAAAAATTCTACAAATCTGAATTGACTTGTGTTCAACTGAATGTTAGGAAAAGTAAGTATACAATATCTACCGATTTTTGGAAACAAGAAAATATTTATTTTAATTTGATTTCATCGTAAAATTTCGATTAATTTCAGATGAGTATGTTTCATATCGGCTGGTCCTGTGATTTATTCATCTTTTAAAATCTTTGTTGGGGCTTGCTATACTGACACTATTGGTCTTCTAAATCGCAAAACGAAAATCATCAATTAAATATGAACGATTTTCATGGAAATAACGCGGCTGAACTCTTTGATCGTGAGTGTGCAGCATTCGTAATTAACTTTCAGGTCTCATTGATGATCTCCCGTAGCTATCAGCGTAGTCGGCCATACTACTATCGAATTTTCTTGGACTGAAAAATTGCAATATTTTTTGGTAGAAAGTACCAACTTGTTGATCGGAATCTTAATTGCATGTTTATTCTTAAAAATTTTAATTTTTCAAACGAATTTCTAATTCTCCAACGAGTTACTGCTGGGCGTCGTGACCGAATGCACGAGGAGAAAAGCATCCATCCTCAAATGCTTTTCTTCATCTTAATATATACATTTCGATCATTCGAAGTAGATGTCAGAATAAAATTTTAACACAATTTCACTTTTATTTACGCTATAGCTATTTCTGAAGAAGCTACAGAAATTCCATACGATCCAGCTACACAACTTGACGGTATGTTTTTATTATTCTATAGGCATATTTTTATACAGAGTTTTTTGTTACGACTAGACTGGATCATAAAGCGGCAGATTGCACACGATTACGATCGATTTGATGGAGTTTTCGGACAAGCAGAACCACATCGTGGGCATCGCTGTTTTGACTGTAATAACTATCTCTTGTACCTAAATCTTTACAGTTTATTTTGTATTTTAGGGAGAACAATGTGGCATAATATTTATGGTAAGGTTAACTGTTAAATAAAGAAACAATTTCTTCATTGATCCTCATAGGTCTGATGATGAACTGGAAATGTCCTATCATTTTTGCATTGTTTATGATTATTCTTGGTAAACTATTTTTTGAAATTTTTGTTTGTCAATTTTTTATACTTTCTGTCTAGGTTGCAGCTATATGAACACTAAGATCTCACCGGTAGTTAGTGAAGATTTAAAAGCAAATAATACGCTGAAACTTCCGATGATCAACAGTACTCCTACAGGTGCATAACATAAATATTTATTTATTTTTTAATAATATTGTATTCGTCTTAAAGGTATGACAATACAGGAAGATGGCAGCACATGTGATGTAAATGAAATCGTGCAGGATCAACTTGATATAAATATTAATGGTAAAAAAAGTACTCAAATAGTGACTAATAGTAGGCAAATCATTGTTCACATATTTTTGTTCATAACATTTGATACAACTATTAAGAGTCTTACGTCCAAGACGTGGTGCTAGAAAAGTCTACAGTACAATCATCGTGCCCAATAGCTGATTTTTTTATGCATGCTTTTAACAAATTGTTTTGCTGGGACGATGGTGATACGCATAATGCTTCAAATGAATTGCACGAAGATAGTAATTATCAAGGTTATGGTAAGAATGAAAATATATAATTTTTTTTGTAACATCGAAAATTTCTTTGTCTCTCTTTAGTACAAAGATATATCTTTGGCGATGATATTATTACTGTTAAAAACTTAGGTTTGTTAATATTTCTCATTATAACTAAATCTAATTAATATGATTAGGTGAATCACTATCGTGCATTAAAAAGTACTTTATTGATATTATAAGGGAGCAACAAATCAGTCAAAAAGCCATGATCGAAGGGCAATGCATTCCCGATGAATCTTTTTATGGTATAGTTTGAAGATTAATACTTTTTTATATTTGAAATATTTATTTATTTAGATGCATCGTTCGATCAAAAATGACAACCTGAAAGTGGCGATTAACCTCGTATTTCTTCTGCTCTTGAGGATTGTCCGGCTTGATACTCGCTCAGAGAGAACTCAAAAAATATAACTAAGGAAAGGAACAAAAGCAATTTCTATGTCATTCATACGTACGGCTACAATCATTTTATTTATTTTGGCAAACTCAACCCGGTGAAATTTAGATATGAATGTAGTAAATTATTTCTGTATCCTTTATTTCTCTTATTTTTATGTCCAATTAATTATTCAAGACAAGTATTTGTGATATTTACTTTGGAACTCCGCTGAATTGATAAATGCCTTCGTTACGGTCATGCTTTTTCAAGTGAATTTTTTGGGTGTGGTTATACCGGTTACTTTTTTTTGTGTGCTTATTCGAGTTACTATGATCGAGTTTGAAGAAGATTTCCATGATGATACTATATCGTAGAATATTTCTCTTTTTCTATTGTTTTATTTAGTCTTATAGAATATTTTTATAATCTTCCTTTTGGCTTAATCTGTTTTCATTATTATTATATCACTTCTGTACTCGAAAAATATTTATGAAATATATTCTTCTTTTCTCTAGCTGAACTGGTCAAATATTTTTCTTTTAATCAATGAAAATCATTGATATTTATGTGCCATGTATTTATCCCAAAAGTTGAATATTTCTATCGGTGGGAAACTTCCAACCGCAATATAACTATAGAGGTTAACTGCAGATGTGAGAACTTTTGTTAGGTGCATTTTTTTTAAAGGGAACGAATCATCTTTTAGATTCTTATCAATTTTGTAGATATAAAAAACGAAATACGCAATTTGATAATGTCGTAGGTTTTGGTGACAAATTTGATCCAATGGGTGCGATAGAAAAAATATTAATCTTGAGTTCGTACCTAGAATAAGAAAAACATATGCTATCTTCTTTTTACTGGTAAATGTGAAACCGAACAATACTTGAACAGCAAACACAGCTGTAGTGCTTCAACAAAAATATTCATTAAGCATAATCTACAACAGCAACCGTGGCTATACCATCGACTATTTGTGAGAATGAAGAAAATCTCGATCACACAAATTCAGCTCGAATAACCGTGCAAGATTTAATTGAATGAAAGAACAGTGATAGTACTTTTCTTTAGATCCTCTAGTTGAAATCTGTCAGTTTCGTAAGAAAATTCTTCTAATGATTTACGACAGAGCAAGTTAGCGCATTAAATTTTCAATGTTCTGAAACTGTTCATCGTCGAAACTTTACTCAGCTTGATATTGAGAGTATTAAGTAAAAATATTCGTTATAATAAACAATATACTTCTACTGAACTTCGCTTGACTTTGAAGAGTTCTACCTAAATGGATAGTCGTCGGTTGAATGAATCAATACATTGATATTTAAGATTCACAAATTATTGAACACCTGTTTCGATTTTCTAGTTTTTTCATCTATACACTTATTTTGCCATGACTTGATAGAATTAAACTAAATTCGAAAACCAGAAAACAATTTGTCAACTATTCGCACAGTTTATTTCATTTTTTTCTGATGTGTAGGCTTTGAATATGGTGTTCGTCCTAAAATGTCTCAATCAGGATTGGTCAAACAACAAACAATACATAATCAAGTCATTGAAACAGTAAAAACAACAGCGATAACTGCTGTCGCATTAATATTTCGTTGTTTTTTGTCGTGTACATTCTACCGTTATAAAATAAGTATGGGATAAGAAAAAAGAACAGAAGGCAAGAAGACAACCTTGAACGCTTGTTTATCGGTCGTCATTTTTGTTCGTTTTCTTATGCCCTTTTTCTTTTTTCCTTTATATTACGATTAATTCTATCCTTCCTAAGATGAAAAAAAACAACAGGTATGTCACCCTTACTGTAGTGTTTTTTCTTTATAACTTTACGACCATTCATATATAAAGATGACAAAATATTATCACTCTTCATAGTTTGATCATTTAACAAAGAGTGCGATCGACTCAAGTGTATGTATAGTATTTGTATGCGTTATTTTTTCTCATAGATTCGATATGGATATTAGTACAAAATGTCTTCTTTAATTCATCGCTCAGAAAATTTATTTTTATATTCAGATAAATTTTACATCAGTTAATTCAAATATTTACAAAGCGAATCGACTTTTTTCTGTTTGAAAACAAACTGTAGAAAGAAGATTTTACGAATAAATGTAATAATTCAATAATTTTTTTTTCTATTTTACTTTTTTACACATTATAAAATATGAAAAATTCGATATGAGTTGAAAGACTAATAAGCATTATTAATTTTTTTCTATTGAAGAGTCTTCGTAGACAAAAACAATATTCTAGTTGTATAATTGAATTCTATTATTTAGAAATTATTACTATAAGCTTTATATTTGAGTATATGCGGTGGGTTTCTTGTCACTAGTTTTCATTACTTATAGCAATTGATTGTTGTTTTTTTTATCGATTGCGTCATTTCGTTTTCTATGCAATAACTATATTCATAATAAAAGCAAACGTACACGACTATTAACCATGTACAAAATATTATTAAAAGAGAGAGAGAAAAAATGCGTTTGACTACCTTTTTCTGAAACTAGATAAAATAACGACCATGAGATTATGCGACTAATAGAAAGAAAAAAAGTACCTTAGCTACAGACAAACAAACCATAGACTACATATTTTATAATGCGTAAATTTTCTGAAGGCGGCAACTGTTAAGTAAAACCTACGTCGTTGATTTCTTCACATCCATGCAATTATTAGTACGTATCTACGGAGTTTGGCTATCAGAACGAAAAGATAGAATTCTTTTTTTGTTTGCGAAGCGGTAAAAGAGAATAAGGCGACTTCGTCGAGTGGAACGACGAAAGAAAAAAAATGAAAATCTAAGAACAAAGAAATGGGGTTCTATTACATGGTATAAAATCTATTGCAGTTTACATTTGTCCAAATATAAACGTGTTGTATCTTCGTATCATAAGTAAGTCTTTTTTTTCGTAATTCGCCATGAATTTAAAACATTAATAGTTTTGACAGATAGCTTATTTAGAACAAGTTCTCTTATCGAGAACTACTAGGCGTGGTTTTTATTATTAATAGATAAACTATTGTACGTATACGAGATTTATAATCACTATACAGGTCCTAAATTTTATTGAATCGTCTCAAACAAAGAATCATATATATTTTGAATAAGGCTTCGAATTCGATAAAAAAATACAGCAATCTGATGTGAAATGAGACAATTTTATCCACGATATTCAGTACATATTTACGAAGAAAAATGTTAATGACTTTTCAAAATCACAAAAAAAATAAAAATAATTGTAGTAGAGTTATATCGTTTCATCATTATTCTATTTTTATTAATTAACCTCTGAAAAAGCACCTATATTCTAAAAAAATAGGGTAATATTACATTGCGTCCAACTATTATTACCGTATTTTTAATGGCTCATATGTATATTTAGTTTTTGGTCTCGTTCTGTATTAAACATTCAAGGCCACATTCGCTTGTTGGTTTTTGCTTTTGTGTGTTTGTCAATGATTCGAAGCATGGCTACTGTTGATACAATAGTAGTTGACGAGTAAGCTGTCGTGTAAACGAGTCTCGACTCACTCATAAATATTTTATTTTGTACTTGTTAAAATATCGACATTTAGAGAGGTAACTGTGCTCAGTAATAAATCAAGTTCATTAAGAATGTAATCAGTTAATGACTAAAAAGCCCTAGATACGTTGTTATTTTGTACTTTTTTTGAACTATTTACTTTCGTTTCCTAGTGGCTTGTTTCAATTTATTTTTGTAAACTAGTTTAAAAAAAGAAAATCATCGTTTTGTTCGTACTAGGACTAAATGAAAACCAACAAACTATTTTTTTTAAATAAAACTATGATAGTACTTATGGAGCGTGATGAAAATGACTTTATTTGGCAAAACATTTGAACATTTAAGTAAACAACAGTCGAACGAGACAACACATCATTTTCTTAGGTCAGAATTGACATATGAGAAGCTACTCATTGAAGTAGTTCCTTAAGCTATGAAGTTCTAGTGGCATAAGTTTTCCATATTTATACAATGCTTCTTGAATTTTTTGTGATTAACTATAATCAATTATTTTACTCGGTAATTATAATCGAATAAAAATTAAGGTATACGAATATTTTCATACGTAATAAACTAAGCGATGACACAGACATTGCGTGGTCGAATACTATTGGTTGCTTTTTTCTGTCAAATACGAACAGCTGATATAGTCAAAGAAAAGATCTTTTACCATTTCAAATGTGATAAAAAGTCTAAAAACCTCCTTTTGCCACAGTTTAAACGATAAAATGCTGTTTTCTTAACTATATAGGCATGTTTAGTTTACGATTCTACGCATATTTTTCTAAAGATTTGTTATCATAATGAAAACTTTCGTGAGATGCTTTGTAGGTTCTTATCACGCATTCGCGGTGAACCATATTCTGTTTTCAACTAAACATCAAATAAAATCATGAACAAAATGTGACTCATTTTGAGCATATCCGAAATACAAAGTTGCTGTTAGAGAAGCCTACAACAAGGTCAACAGACACAAAGCACTGATAGTTTTCGACCTTTCATGTTCTCCAAGAGAACAATAGCACCTTATCTCGGTGAAAATCTATAAGCATTTGAAATGATATAATTCTATAGAATGATTAACAAAATTTAATGATAGTTTTGCGATTAAATTGGAAAAAATCATTTGCTAACTACAGAATTTCTTAGTTTTTTTAGTAAAACGATCGTATGTTAGAATAATCGTTGAAGAAAAATAATAATACTATACTATCACTAAATTTCTGATTTATTTTTACACAAGAGGATAAGTTTATATCTAAAAACTTGACTTTCTAAGTTCTATTCAACGATAATAGAATGAATATAAACTAGATATATAAATGCTGTATAGACACAAGTAGGGTAAGACTATAATTATTTTTAGTCGAAACGTTTTCCTATCAGAAGACTATAAGAGAAAACTCATCTATGATTAATAGGAGGTATACTAAAAGGAAATATTGAAGGAAGTCAATGCTACTTACCTTCATGTCGATTCTTTAGCTGTTTCTTTTTTGCGCACTTCGTATTTATGTATGAGAAAAATGTGATCACCTTTATACTTATCGTTCTTGACCTTAATTTTCGAGAAGCTATTTGCAAATATGCGCACATAAAATAAACCTGGATAAAGGAATAATTATTAAGCATCAAAATGACTCACGGTTTTTGATAGAAAAACGTTACAAAAAGTCTAATATAGAAATATCATGATGAAAGTTAAAATGATTATTCATCGTTACTGAAACAGACGGCCTACTTTGATTTTGTTTCAGATAATTTATTCTTTTATAAATTGTTGACGAGATTCAGTTGAAATCTATTAGATTAAATTCAAAAACTTTGATAAATTCTATGTAAAAAATGTTGAATACGAATGGTAATAACCGATACGGCTCGTCTTCATCATCTCATGGTAAGTTTTACGTAGAATTAGTTTTGAATATTCAATTTTTATCATTTCAGGACGACACCTAAATTTACCGGCTACGGATGACAGCGATTCAACACGTATTTATTAAAATATCATCAAAACATTTTTATGACCATATATTTTAAAATCTATTTAGAGTATTCAGTACCAGCTACTGACCTATTACCTGCTGGTATCCCGGATATGACAGGTATAGTTCATATTAGAAATGAATATTTATTTGAACTAATGACACTGCAGATCAACAAATTAATGGTCTTATAATTTATCCAGCTAATCAAATTGCAATAGCAACATTAATGCGATATATTTTCATATTTATCCTGATGTCTCTCATTATTCATCTATTTTACACTTCGATCGTATTGGTATACATATTTTATCAAATAAGCAATCGTGAGCATAGGCCTGGTCAACAAGCTGATGATCCTGGATTATATTATTTTGATTTACTCATGAATTGTAAGATAGTATTGAATTTCGTTTTAGAATATTCCTATACATTTTCATTCTAGTTTTGTTTCGGCGGAATCAAAATGCTCCAACTCGTAAGTAGTAATTTTTAGATTTAGGAAAAACGAAATTCACTAATCTTATATTTTTCTAGATGCAAATGATCACGCTTTTAGATTCTCCTTAACAGTGACACGTAAGTCATATGTTAATCGTTGTTAAAAAAATGTCTGTATTATATTTCTAGTTGCCGATGGTGATGGCGATGAAGCATTCGCAATTCAAGATACACGAGCTCATGACTATGAAATTTTGACAAGTCTAAACAATTACCGACGTATCTATGTTATAATAATGAATGAAAACGCACATATCAATGAGGATGCAACTCTATATGAAAATAATGCTGATACAATATTGTCCGATAGTAAAAAAGCCATTTTTCAATACTTCTCTCTACCATATGTTTACTGTGAATATTTAGTGGTGAACACTACTAGTACAAGACAAAGCGAGGTTGATGGTTTAGAATGTAAGCTAAATCGACTTTTTTCCGATAAGGCTTAAATTCATTGTTTGTCTTTTGTTTATTTTAAAGATGGCAGGCATCTTCTGAATTCAATTGCATCGTCAGATATGGCTCACTCAAATGATATTGATGATCAAGAAGGTACGATTGACTATTTTTCTCATAAGAATCTATTATCTGTATGTAATATCAATGTTTAGATAGTAATGTTAGTTCAGATAGTGATTTTGGCGGAGATAATTTATGTGACCAGAATGAACGAAGAGGTTTGTTTAATTTCGTTTCTATCTACTTTCCTATTTTGATTGAAATTCAATACCGATGATTAGATGCAATAGTAACAAATCATGAAAATCTGGATGATGCTCAAAATTCTCGTAAGATATATTTTCATGGATTTATTTACAAATATATTATTTATTTTTCTTATATAGCTTTATCATCTAATGAAGCAACTGAAATTCCAAAAACTGTTAGAAGTCAAAGTGAAGCTTCTGTGCAAACAATAGAAAATGCATCTCGTTCAACTGGTATAAACGATTCTAAGCATACACCTGACATTGTATCTGATTCTCAATCAGATCGTACGGACGTCAATTAAAGAACATTTCAAATGTCATTTTATTCAAAAACATATTCCTTATAATCAAGAAATCGTATAGGCAGTTTTCTTCGTCTTTCTTTTCCAAGCCCGGTTCATTTTAGTCTTTCTCGTATTCAAAATTCGTTCAGATAGAGTTAGCCTTTACGTAGAACGTTAGCGCATGAACATTTTTTAAATCCGTCCTAAAGTTTAACAATATAGGAGGAAGAGATTCTGAGTTCACACTTCTTTGAGATTGTCATCCATAAAAAAAGTATTACGAAAAAATACCCAAACAGGAATCAAATTCCTCGAGTTTGATTCGAGCAATCTGTTTAATTGAAATATTGTGTTGTATTCTGTGAGAAACCGAGTTAGAAAATATGTAGGCTTTTATTTTTACGCATATTTTACATTGTTTGACATCATTTTGTATTTATAAGGTGTTCTAAGTGACTTTATTGCATTGCTTGTGACTTCGAATTTTATTTTGAGTGAAACGTGATCTCCCTTAAAAATTAAAATTTTTTTCTATGAAACTATTTTTCCAACTATTTTCACAGAAAAATATCCTCATTTTTATTGTAACTTCTGCCTATCGGTTTTCGTCTATTAAAAATAAATCATTTTGTTCAACAGCAATTACGTTTGTTCGATTATTCAGAACATTTATTTCCGATGTTAGATGAATTGTATCATTGCGGGTATTATTAATGAAAAAATCTACACCAATTCACGCAATATCTATCGGCAAGCGTTACCTCTGTCTCATTCACGTATAACTAAAATAGAGGACACTATTGAATCTCTTTTATTGAAAGTGAATTCGAATTCTTTTTTTTAATAATCAAAAATAAATGTACGAAAATTCATTCCAATTAAGTCATCAACAATCAGTTGACGACGATGCGTAAGTATGCATAGTTTGTTTGTTTTTGTAACAATATTCTTCACTTGATTGGGCAATGAAGAACCAATCTGCGAAACCTAGCAGCACAATACATGATATATCTTGTTACTGCAGTAAAATGAGATTTTATTTTATTTTTTTAAGATATATAGATATTCTTCTTAAATATAAAATAAATATAATTCTTTTTGCTTAACATACAAGCACCAATCATTGTCGCCTTTTGCCATTGATAGATAGACATCAATATGAGAGAGAGTATGGCACTCTCTCATTCTCACTCTGTTCTTTTCTTATAATAATACATCAGTTGAGAGAGTCCTCCATAGGCAAGGTGAAACCATTTTGTCTAATCAAAAGTTTAGTTCAAAGCGTGTATCTCTCATAATTATATCTGATTTTTAAGATTGCCAATAAAATATTATATTACAGATCGCCATTAACATTATAGTGCTTGACCATCCTTACATAGATTATTTCAAGTAAGATTTACACAGTACATTAGATGATAGCTTATTCATAAAAAAATCGAACGACTCTTTTTTGGAATAAATTTTACTATGAGTGAAACCATAACTTTATGAATTTGTTTAGACATAGTTAATATACTTTCGTTTTTTAATTTGATTTTCTTCGTTCACATTAAAATAATTGCAAAAGAAACGTTTCAACGATTTTTAAGCTGATAGAGTGTGGTTAAGAAGTATGTAGAGAAGAATTATATACGATCGGTAAAAAAGACTTAATATGATGAGGTTGTAATACATCATGGGGAGACAAAGAAAAGTAAAGCGTTATATTTATCATAAAAAGAAGACAATATCAACGGTGTCTTTTAGATGAGTGTTGCCGTGGATTTAAATATTTTTATGATGGTCCACTATCTCTAGAGACCTGCAATTTGATATTTGTATAGAAAATAAATTTTATTTTAATTTTACGAGAACCTACAAATATATTCAAGGGGAAGCAAACGCTTCAGAGTTTAAATAATATTAATTGTAGTTAGATATTGAATTTCTTATATTATATTGATCGAATGCATTGCAAATCATATATGAAGGGACGACTATTCCGTTTAGATTTGTTAGCTTTTAGAAGTTATTAGTATTAATGAATTTTCTACGTTCAAATTATACATTATGACAAGATTCTTGCGTGACTCACGCGGCAGGAGTCACATACCGTCGGCTAGCTACTGTTTTTTTCTTGTTCTTTACTCAAGTATGCTATAATCATTTAAAGGAGTACAAGCACTTTTTGACTGCTACCATTTGTTGAATTTATAGACTTGATGAGATTTTTTACCCTTTATTTTTTTTACCCATAATAGTTATGTCTTCGAAATGTGCAGTTGGAAAATATCAACCCTGAAAGAGGTTACTAAGTGCATAGGTCTCGATGTACGAGAGACTAATTTTTATTCTCCTTGTACGAACTTTTTATGTTAAATATCGTCAATTTTCAGCTCATTTCCCTGCGAAACATTCTTGAATCCAAATGTAAGAATAACTATTTTAAGTAAGAGGATTGTTTTTCAATTGTTCTTTCGTGACACTTAAAAAGTACCCGACTGAAAAAAACATCAGTAGATATGCGATAATGCCAACTTTTTCTTCAATGACGCATGGAACTGACATTTAGCACGAAGGTTTTTGTAAAGAGAGTGAGGTCAAATAGTAGAAACATTGAAAACTTGCGTGCATCGAATATATTATCGTCCTACGGTTGTTTTTCGTTTCACCATTCCCAGCTTTCGACATTCAAGCAAGCGCATGTTACAAAACATTCACTACATAAATACCTAACCTGATATAAATATGATTGGCGTCTATTAGTAGTTATAATAAGAAATTTAATACTTCATTTTTATTTCAGACAATTATTGTTTTTAATCAAGTAATATTGACCGGTTTTAAAAACTATTGTGTAAAAATTGAAGATCGAACAAAAATGGCAAATTTCAATGGTAAGAATAAGGAACATGACATACATTTATCATCCGATAGTATTAACTAGATTCAGTTCTATTGTTTCAGACAATGAAATGAATCGACCGTTATTAGGGGGTGTCAATTTACAGTTTATTTTATTTAAATTTAACTTCGTGAAAAGTTAATTGAATTTAAAATAAAATTCTATAAAGTTAAATTTTTAATAAATTGTTTGGATGGATATTCATCATTGCTATGAGGAAAATACGTCACTTTAACCGTAGTAAATACTAAATGAGAGGAGAACCTAGTATTTTAGGTTGATATTTGTGCATAATAGCCAAAATTTCTCTACACATTATGCAAGATCTGTCATCTTTCTTCTTCAAAATGCCGGGATATTCAGAAAAATATATTTGATAGCACAATTCGTAGAAGAATGACTACCTCTAACTTTAGAAAACAGGAAACATACTCAAATTTGACTTGAAATAATCACAATCAAGCCAAAAACTATGTTTATCTATTCATTTTGAAAATTTAATTAAATTTAAATTCCTTGAATTTAAATGTGACACCCCTAACCGTTAGCTAACCCACGGTTATCGATTTTTTTGAAGAGTGAGAGTGGTTAAAAATTTGGCAGAAATTGAACGAAAAACGTTCTGTTGACGGATTTTTCGACAGCTTTTCTTTGATTTTCTGCCAAAAATTCCGCTAAAAGTCTGACAGGTTTTCAATTTTTGACAGGACTTATCCCCTCCCTAATCGGCAAGTCTGAGATAACCAAAATGATTCCATCGGTATTTACGAAAAGATTATGAAGAATTTTTCAAACGCACAACTTTTTCATCTTTGTAGATTATGGACAACCTGCTGCAGATCTATTACGTATGAATGCAGGAAGAACAGCGCGTATGCTTTTTTCTTTGATTACGCGCTTGCTTTATTTTGTCATATTATAGGTGAACAAATCCATGATTCTGCAAGGATACTGTTTGATTATCGTGGCACAACAAGATTTGAACAAGAGTATTCAAACCGCATCGTATGCTTTTGGTTTTTTATTTTTCAACGGTATGCTTTATTATTGCTTTTTAGGCAAACATTCGCTTTTCAAATATATCTACGCCAGGTGAGACTTCAATACAATTATTTTCAGATTATTATTTTATTGATTCTTTTTTATTGCAGATTCTTTTCGTTCAAATCAAGCCGGAGAAGCTGAAGGTCATATTGCTCGTAAGTAGTAATTCTGAATTTCGAAAAAAATGCAATAATCTGATCTTTCTTTTTTATATAGATCCACCTGCTGAAGTTTTAGCTGGTATGAGTAGCTCATTTGTAAGATATTTTTCATACACTTTAACATTCTATTTCTAGATACCAATGGAGATCGCTTAGAAATTGAAGATACACAACCTCATGATCTTGAGGCTATGATCGATTTAAATAATAACCAACCTCCAGCTTTTCTCATAAATCACGAAGATAATCACGTCAACGAAGACGCAACGTTATATAACATTGCGAATGAAAACGTCATTCCCATAGATCTGCAAATAGGTCAATAAATTCATTTCTTTTAATATTTTCTAGTAAAGAGTGTTTTTTATAGGAATAGGTCAAAATGTACAAATTCAAAACGATGGTGATGCACCTGAAGAGGCAAACGACGGTTAATTTTGTAAGTTCAATTATATATCTCTTTTCTAACATAAACTGTTTATTTGCTATTCCTTGTTCTTTGATATGAATAAATATATACAATTTTTTTTGTCGTATTTAGAGTGATCAATTATTTAGATATTAACAATTCTATAACACATTTCTACGCCAATGGAAGTTATTTGTAATCAGTTCGAAACAGACAAGTGGTAATTGATCAATTTGGTTTTTCTTCTAGTCGCCAACAAAACTTGATTTGATCAAGAAATTGGCAATTTGTTTTTTTCTCTTTTTCTAAACTCGGTGCATTTTCTGATATTGACATGACTTGAAAAGGACCACTTCTATTTCGATAGATTCCATTTCTCCTGAGATTTTTAATTGTATTTTAGAACAATTCTGTGTAGAATAGAATTTTTTTTTTCGTTTATTAGACTACAGCTTTAAAACTATATCAGTCAAATTATTAACAATGAAGATAGTTTCCGGTCATAAGCTATTCCTACTAATAATTAATAATAACCTATTTTATTTATAATTTTCCACAATAGTCAATTTGATGCAAGAGCTACGTGCTACGAATGTGAACTCTAAGGATATCTATTTTAGCTTTGTATTTAAATCAAATTTTTAAATGTTATTGTTTACATGATACAGAATCAGGTTAAGATTGTTAAAAACGCCGTTTTACTTGCTTTAGACATAGTCTTTTGTTCGATGATTTGTTTTTTAACAATTTTTGTTTATTTTTGGATATAGAGATGTTCCCGCATTTCAAGCCTCTTGACTAACCTACTTTTTGTATAACAAAACGTATTTTCATTAAAACACTAGTTCCATAAGAAAGCATTCTTGTTCGAAAATTAAAATAATAGGTTGTGTCATGAAGCATCGCTTATCGAACAGTTTTTAATTGAAGAGTGAAAGGATTTCTTTTTTGTTATTTTGACTAGTACACACCTTTTTCAGAAAATCTGTTTATGACAAATGAAAAGAAGTGTTGTTAATGTTTTTTTCTTTTTCTTCTTGTAATTCTTTTGCGGTGTGTATGACAAAAAAAGCATTGTTTTTTATTTTTTTTTCTGTCTAAGAATAAAGATCAACATGGAATTAAAAATATACTCGGTGATATTATGACTGTTTTTAAGTAGACAGTTGAATATGATTTATTAGCATTGACTACAGTCTACTATTTGAACCTATAAACTTTATTTCTTGGGTGTACTTGGTTGGTGACATTTTTGCTGGTTCTTGAAGGCATAACAGGAGGCGCGTATTCAAGTTCAGAATAACCCGTAGTTGATGATCACTTCAATCATACAGATCGATGGCAAAGTTGTTTTTGTAGAGAATTCTTTATTCGAATGACGGATTTTTTTTACATGTGATACATGGTAAATCGTGTATATTTGTATGTGTTAGAATGAATACTTATTTCTTTAGAATCAGCTGCTATAAGAAATTTTTTATTGATAATTGATTTATAGGTCGAATTATTATCAAAATTAAGCTTGGAAGTTTTTTTTTATTAGATTGTATTCTAATTCATCATCGAAACATAAGAGAAGTGCTTTTCTCATTAACTTATCTCTTCTAAGATTAAATGCAAGGAGGAAAGAGTGCCTCCTGGATCCTTGGATTCTGACGGCTCCTCATGGATCCTAGTGGATTCTGTGGATTCTACTGTCCATATAAAAATAAATAGGCATGAAACGAATTGATTTTCAAACTTAACGAAAAAAACTGCGTTAAATCAATACTTAACGAGGTTTAATGAAAAGCAATGCATGAAATTTCGTTATCTTCCACAAACTCGTGAAAATGAGTTAATGACTTTTTAACAGTTACTGACGCGTCAACTATCACGAAAAATAGCATCTGTTTTCATGCGTGAAGTAATTTAACGCGTTTCTATGAATGTTTAGTTTTTAACGACTGAATATTTATTTAACTTCGTTAATTTTAAATGTATTCACGTGTAAACTAATTAGAGATTTTATCCAATGACTTCAATAAACTTCCAAGCTCAAGTTTGCTAAGTATCGATTATGAATTATGAAGCGAAATATCTAACGAGAGTAATGTATGGATCTTTGGTATCAATGTTATGATCAGGTTTACCGATTAGGGAGGTGATGCGAAGAGCTAATCTCTTCTAAATATTGAGAACCTGTCAGACTTTTTGAGAAATCTTCTTATACTATCTGCCAGATTCTTGAAAGTTATATAATAATTTCTGGCAGAAAACCGAAGAAAAACACATTCTGTTAACAAAATCTCAGAAAATTCGTGAATTTAACGTTTATCATCTAATCTTTGTCGAAAAATAAGATGAGACATTTTCTATCAAATTTTTAGCCTCTCCTACTCTCCAAAATAATCAACAACTTTGGTTAACATTTATTTTGACCAAGTCCAGCATGAACGATAGCACATAAGCGTGGTGAATATAGCGACATCAATTTTCGGAAAGGCAATGTACTAAGCTGAAAAGTGTGACTGTTTCGTATTTGATGTTTAAGTTCACAGATTATTAATTTGATTGTACTAGCAAATGTAGTTATCCTACAGAGAATTTTTCAGTTGTTTGAGGAAAGAAAAGAATTAATTGTATGCTTCTTATATTCTTCCCGGGAAACACTGCCTGCTAGCTACAACACAACAAAATTTAAAAAGCACGCGATCTCGTTTGAATTTTTCATCTAATCTGTGATTGTTGTCAAACAACTATGTCGATATAAACTCCTATAAGACTCGCATGTCTCGTTAGTAACGTAAATTCCGATATGCCGAGAGGATACGCGTGTGTATGGGTGGCTGAGGGTGGGGGCAAATAATGACCTTTGCCCACATCCACCCACCCTACTTTCCATAGTAAGCAACTATGTATATTTTATTTTAGAGAAAACAAACAACATGCATAGTAAGATTGTCATTACAAAGAACGATGAAACATCATTTGAGTTTATCGGACATGCGTTGAATGTCTTGACTGACAATGCCAATAAACGGATGTGTTGAAGGTAACGTTACATGAAATATGGATGATGCTTTCTGAAAATTTGTTAATGCCTGTTGAAATTCTTCTTTGCCAGCGTAAAGAAGACCAAGATTGTAGTGCGCCATTGCAATATCTTGATGTTGACTAGGAAGAGATTTCTGGTAGATTTCTAATGCCTTATTATAATATTGCAAAGCAAGATCAGGATAATTCAAGCATAAATAAATACCAGCAATACAATGTACGGATGAACCTATGTCGGGATGATCAGTAGGTAGATGTTTTTGACGAATCATCAACGATTTTTGATGACATTCAAATGCTTGTTGAAAGTTCTTTTCTTCTTGATAAGCATTGCCCATATTATGATAACACATGGCAACCTGAATATTTTCTTCTCCGAATGCTTTTTTCCGAATATCTAATGCTTTTTTAAATGATTCGAGTGCATCCTTACGATTTCCTTTTCGAAAATAAACTTCACCAATACTATTGCAAGTTGTTGCTATAGCAGGATCGTCACATTTACGTGTTTGATTATACAATTCAAGCGCTTTCTTGAACCATTTGAGACTTGAATCATAGTTACCTTTATGATTAGCTATCATACCCAGATTGTGATAGCAAGGACCTAAATCTTTATCACCCGGAGGTAATTCAGTTAGTAAATGGTTATAATATTTCTCGGCTTTATCGTATTCTCCCATTTTAAATAATAGAATACCAAATGAAAAAACACTGGATTCTGTATCACCACCATCATAATCATCATATTCATTCTTCATATAATCATAAATTGGTTTTAAACTATTGTCCTTATCGCTACACAATGTCATTTGAACGATGCATACTCGATCTTGATAATCAATTTTAACAAGTTGAAATATCGACCCTAACATAATCAGTACTTCTTGTTCGTCAGCAAAAAAACTGTTTGATGTAATGTTAGCAAATGGTTTGATACCCTCAAGTGTCGGATCGAGATCGATTTCGAATAGAATACGTTGAAAATCACCCGACACTGTCGAACTAGTAAGAAACGATAGAGCTAGTCGACGATCAAGACTTGTCGAAAGAAACGAATTCATTGAGATGAATTGTCCCAGCGAAGTTTTTAATGTTTCCAATTCATCATTTGATACTACTTGACCTCGATACACACGAAGTGGAGTTGAACATTGAAGTTCTTGAAGTTGTTGATGAATATCACGGATGAAAAATCGAAAAAGAAAAAGTAAATCAATATCTTGAGTTCGAAGAGATTTGTTCATTAGTCGATAGAGAAACGATTCTCTCGTGTACCACCATAGTGCACGATTCGGTACATAATCATTTTCAAATTCTTGAATAATGGATAGTTCACTTGAGTTATCTTTATAATATGTCTTACATAGACTAATAAATTCATTTCTATCAGTTGTTTTCGGCTTCATACTGAGCAGACGATCGATTAATAATTGCGAATAGACGAATTGACCATTGAGTCCTGTTGTTGACTTTTCTTGATGACTCTTTGTATTGAAAATATTGATTGAAAACATTTCATCAACTTTCGTTCGCGTTCTTGTTGTTTGATCCGATAGAATTTGATCAACTAGTCCATTCAATTGCATGCCAATACCTTTAACCTGAAAGATACTTTTATCAATCAATCAATAGATCAAAAACAGTTATCTTAAACCAATAAATGCAAGAATACCAAGTGATAATCTTCAAACTAACTATTTCAACTAGCCCAAATATTATTTTAAAAAACATTTATCGATCTACTACATCTTTAACTAGAACAACAATGTTCAATTTTTATTGGAAAACATTTCTTACAAGCATTTACCTTCTCGAAGTTTTTCGTCCAATCATTACTTCGTTTATTATCTGACTTAAAGATATAGATGGTAAATATTTGACGTAGTAAATGAATTCGAGGTACAACTTCTTGACCCAATCGATCATTAGAAATGAAGATAATTCGATTTTCTTTGGATACAGATTTTATATACGACTCGCATTGTTCAACATCTTCAAATGTCTGGAGATGATTGATTAATTTACGAAGTCGACTTTGAGCTTCAATAAATTCCTTAACTTTATTTACTGCAGGTTCAAGCCAAACCAGAGAGTATGTTTCAAGATTGTCTTCACGTTTTTCAGTTGAGACGGTGAGAGTTGCTGCTGCCATTCGACACGTTTTCTTTCTTTTTTTTGAATGCACGGTGACTCTTGTCAATATGAAACGATAACTCTGAAATAAATAACTTCTTTTTCACTCATTCATGCGTTGGCTTGATAGAAAGAAAAAAAAAATTCTCCAACTCTCTATTCCGAGCTTAGCAACCACGTATCCAACTAAATAATTGAAAGAGAAAAAAGATATCTTGATATTGTTGTTGCAAGGAAATTTTATATTTGATATACTTTTGCAACGAATAAAAAAATAAAATATCTCTACTACTATCTTATCGAAACTAAAAGATGAAGTCCTACTTCACTGATAAGTACAAAGTATACCCTACCCTAGTCGAACATCTTGTAAGCAAGATCTGGAAATCTTGGGATCGGTAAGTAAGATCTTATTAAGATCTTAAAAAGATAATTTGTGTGTACATATCTTGGTTGCATCAGATAAATCTGTACTTAAGATCTTGGCAAGATCATGGAAAAAATATCGTGTACTATTATCTTCTCACAAGATTTTGAGCAAAACAGAAAGCGACATCATTAGTTTATTTAGATAGGCTATCTAGTCATTCACCATCTTTTTTTATGCATACAGGACTGAATGTAAGCAACATGATTGAACATGCAAAACATAATTTTTCAAAATAATTTTTTTTCTAAACAATGTCTCGATTATTGATTATTCGAGAGAATGCTGATCTCGATCGATGATTGAGAGAGGACTATCCTAAATTGGTCTGACGAATATCGAACCAACTCAAAGCTGCTCAGATCCCAACATCTGACTTGTTTGATTTTTTCGGGACAGGAATAATTAATATTAAAATAAATTGAAAAAATATCAAACATGCTTTCAGAATGTATCATTCAAGATCTTATGAATTCTTACTTAAGATCTTTAATAAGATCTTGGTACAAAATAACCGTATTATCTTGTACCTAAATTTTCAAGATCTGTTCACTTATCTGTACCCAAGATCTTGGTCAAGATCTTACTTACAAGATGTTTCACTAAGGTAGTGAGGAAATTATTTTTTATGAAAAAAAATCGATCACATTAAATCAAAAGCAAAGGAAGAAAAACATCGAGAGAAATGTGGCCAATCTATCAGAAATTAGAAAGAAAAATGGTTGCACATATACGTATGTTGGAGGAGATGAAGCATATTTATATATCCTAAACTTGTAGATAGAACTGGGTGTGGGTGTGGACAAAAGTCATTGTTGTCCCACACCCCCAGGCAATTCAATAGTTTGACAATATATTAGAAAAATGTTTCGGCAATTCTAAATATGTTCATCACGATTTATTAATAATCATACGGTTTTCGGAATGCTAAAAATGATTAATAACGAATAAGAATTTTTCAAATTATCTATAAACCATAGAATTATTTGGAATCATTTTCAAAATGATTCAAAAAAAACTTAATTTCTAAAACGTGCATTTTTCATCCTTGTAGTTTCCGAAACAGGTATATTTGACTAGGAAATTTTCTTTTTCGGAAATCTGCCCACTGCTGCGCCCAACTCACACCCCACACCCTCACACTCTCAAGATGCTACATTCTGCTAATGTTCTTGCTTCCTCTCATGGATGTCATCAAACTTTATTATAAAATTCATCTTGTGTTTGTCTTCTTGTTTTGAGATAAAATTTGTACTAACAAAAGCATTCATTACAAAATTTCCAGAATCATTAGTCTCAGAATACTTCAATAAAAAGCGATGTCGAATGATCAAGACGAAAATGCGCCTAATATATCCGAACATTTCAGCAATATCGCATCTGATTATCATGCGGCTACCCTGTTTCATTCTTCTTCATCGTCTCATGAACAATGGTTAAAAAAATTAGTATTTGATGCATTAGATCTCAAACGGGATCATATTTTAGCTGATGTTGGCTGTGGATCTGGAGATGATTGTCTTTGGCTTTTAAATAAAATGAACAATGACATAAAGACTATTGGTTGTGATCCATCATTAGGGATGATTGAAATTTTCAACAACCAAATTAGAAAACAGAATTTAACCAGCATTGTTCAAGCATTGTGTATGGATGCAGTTACTTTCAGCCAACAGAAACAATGGTCGGCATATAATCGTCTTTTAATGAAACAATGTGTTCATCTGATGTCGCCCAATGAAAGATTATTAGCTTTCAGAGGTTTTCATGAACAATTTAATTGTAACGACAACAAATTAGTCATTGTTACACGACCAGGAAAGGACATCTTTCCATTTGATAAACGTACGACTGAGATATATATATATCTCAATCCCCTCACATTGACAATTACGTGAAAGAATTAGAATTATGTGGATTTACAAATATTCAATGTGATACATATGAGTACACATTCGATGACAGTGTAACACTTGATGATTGGATTAATTTTATTCAGAAGAGACTATGGTCGATATTCTCACCTGAGAAAATTAATGAAGAACAAATGATTGATTTGATTTCATATTTGAAAGAAACATACAAACATGAAAAGTTTAAATTGAAAGATAAAATTTTAGTATTGCATTGCACAACCAAGAACCATTGATTATGTTACGGTGCTAATTTTCCTAACATTTTTACATCAACTACTGAAGCAAAACATTTTATCTAAACCAAAACTATCCTGCAACAAAATATGTCGAAATTTGTGCACTCTCTTCCTTATTATACCCTCACGCTTGTGCGCCATAATAAGACCTAATAAATTATATCACAAAATACAGAAAATTCTTGAAACCATTAGCTCAGTAAATATATTCTTTTCTAACTTGGAATAAACATATTGAAATCTACTCGATTTCATTCAGTGAGTCTCTTTAGAATATGGGTTTATGTATGCGAGGTTTTCAGGATTCGGGTGTGAGGATGAGCATTGGTATTCCTATTGTTTATTTCTATATCGATTCGCGCACACTAGCTTCTTCAACTTTTTTTAAGGATTCGGTTAGCAATCGAATACACAAAAGACTCTAGTAGTCTGATTATTCTGAAATGTACAGTGGACATGGAGCTGGTAGCGGTCGTCAAAAATCCGAATCGATTTTATTGCTTTTGTACAGCAGCTCTTCAATATATTTTTCTAGTTTCTTAGTATTATTTTCAGATACTCACAGAGTTGAATAAAAAGATCGTTATGTCGTCACCATGCGGTCATGCAGTCCATTTTTTGTCGTTGTGGACAGGCAAACCGCCAGCTTATGGGATTTGCCCCGGTGTGAACGCACACGGTACTCTAAAGTCACTACCACAAATAAGCTTGAATGCTACTCGCAAGGAACTGTTCGACTATTTTAATAACACATGGACACTTATCGTAGTGCTGTTCGATGGTCTTGCTAGTGAGCAAGGATTTTATCACTCTCACTATCATAAGTTACGCCATCCAATGATATTTTACTACTTACACCGAGCTGTATTTTACATAAATAAATTACGTGTAGCTGGCATTTTTGAGCAGCCAGTTAAGCTAGAATTCGAACAACTATTTGAAACTGGTGTCGACGAAATACGTTGGGATGACTTGTATGAAAACAATGTACGTATATAAGAATCGCATAACGACCAAACTTTTTTTAATATAAAAATTGATCCACTATAGTATAGAATTTCTATCGGCATATCACATGGGCGATAGAAGTAATTATATTGATTTCTGAGATATCATGCCTCAAGTTTCAAAGTTTTGAAATAATTAATCTATATTTTATAATAAAGAAACCCTTTGGATAAGAGAGTAGATGCAGTAATATTTTTAAAAGCTTCACTGTTTTCTTTTCAAAACACCATGTGCTGTTGACTGAATCAATTGAAAAATGCACCTAAAGAGACATCTAAATTGTAGGATCAACAGGAATAATATAAAGGAAATAATTATTTTATAGTAGTACAAAATCTGAGGAATGACTGTTCGATAAGCCGAAATCATATGTTGAATACGGATCATAAGCCAAGCATTTGATTATACTAAATTATTAGGATAAATAAGATAGTTTTACAGTGGTTTCTTTCTTCTGTGAAATCTACTTGGTTCATGGGAAATGAAAAATTTCTATACACCAGTACTACGCTTGTTCTGATTCATATTAAATCCATCGAGAAGTTCAATATATATTCGATGGATTGAGGATCTCTCTCTCAAAGTAGAGTTTTCTTCATAATCAGTAGCACTAGCCATTATTCATATATATGTGATACTCATCAATACGAATAATAAGTTCGGTACTGTAGAAATGCATTGGCATGTACTCATGTACCATTAGTCTTGTAAATTTGTGACTTTAAGATTGAATATACAACGTATCAGAGCTTGGATGTTTGCATGAATATTATATTTTTCTCCAGTAATTTAACTTGTCATAGTAATGAATGATGGTATTGCAAATAAATAACAATCTATTTTTTTTTCTATCGTCATGGAATCGCGTTATTTCTTTTCATTTTCTTTGAGAAAATATACTCACACTGTATTTATACTCATAAAACCATCGTCCGCTACTCATCGTATAATTTGCATGCAACAATGTTCTGCTTCTTGATTCTGATCGTTTTTTTTACCGGTGAGCATTCTCACTCTCGAGTGTATACCATCGAACTTTACTATGACATCATCCTTTAATGAATTTACTTCTATTAAATTTCAAAACGAACTTCGTCGTCTTGATCCCGAACATCGAACAACGCATTGTGCGTTTCAAATTGTCCTTGTATATAAACAGCGACAGATTAAAGTAAAATCCACAATAGATCCACTTAAACTTCAACGACTAGTAAGAGCCCGACTGATTTTTGACACAATAATAAATCTGGGAAGCAGCATGCCATTGGTGAATTTGATTTCTACTACAAATGAGTTTAAAATCAAATGTGACACAAATTGGTGCGATCGTCAGCTTATGCTCAAACATATCGGCTGGTTGTCAAAAGAAAACTACTCGAATCTAGAGAATACTTCAAGCTCATTTTTCGTCAGCGAAGCGGTAGACTCTGGTAATTATTCAGCCAGAAGGTATAATGAAATTTGTGAAACAAAAAAAGCCCTCTATACTTTTAGCGATCTTTAATTTTGTCGATTTGCATAACCTCTGAAGATCTCTGACTTGGACTGACTTTTATGATAATAATATTTTGACGTTCTCCGTTCTTTTCTTGCCGACGTGAATCGAGTGATACTAATTTAACTTTTCTAGTACAATTCAATTCAGAGTTGCTAAAACTTCATTGGTTATCTCCATAGAATATAATTAAACAAATTAAGTTTCAGTTGGTGTATCACCTAATACGATTTTTTTGACGTAATTAAATGAAAAATAATGAAATTTTGAAATCGGCAATTAAAGAACAGCACCGTGCACTTGGTTTTGCGCAATCTAAAATGTTTCTGCTTGATTTTAACTATTTAGGTTACTGCTTGCATAACGGGAAAATGAAAGAGTGTCCAAATCGTATATGCTATTTTTATCATTCGGACAAAGAATTCAAAACTCAAAATGGCTGTTACCTTCTACCAAGAAAAAACGCCAGATTTCAACTGAAATTTGAAATAAACTTTGGCGAAAGTCCTGGAACTGTGAACGGAAAAGAAATTGGAGTACCGGCTAAGTACGAAATTGTAAATAGCTTATTCGACATAAATTATTTTTGCACATGTTCCATATGCAATGATCCATCGATCATGACGAATATATCAGAAGTAGTAAATCTTCATTGCAACGTATCAGCGATCAAAGAAGCGTTGCAGGCTGTGATACCAATGTCAATGGTAACCACTACTAATAAAATATCTACAACACTCTCGGCAAGTACATCGTCTACGACAAGCACGACTACAGTAACAGCTACTACAATGACTACGACAACCACGGCTACACTCTCAAGTACTAGTGCTACCAAAATGGCAACTGGGAGCTCAGCTTCTTTTCGAATGGGCTTTGGCATTATCTGCTTTGAAAGTTTTTTCCTATATTGGAATAATCTGCATTAAATTCTCAGAATCTTATTTTCAATGCCTCATCCTATTAAAGTTTACCCACAAAAAAAACGCTTTTAAATAAAATATTGACAGAAACATATATTCAGAATAGCTCATGTCTTATTAATACTTAAGCAATATCATGACAAGTAGCTTTTTTTAAAAATTTTATGCAATTAATTATTTTACAACTCAATATATCACATAGATTTTATTGCTGGAGAAAGATCATAGTTTGAAATTTCCATTTGGTAGCACGGCTGCATTCGGATCCTGCTTTTGTGAAACTCATAATTCTTAACAGTGATGATTATTAAATGTGTGCGCTGATGTATTTTCAGAAATCCACATTTCTGCGGGAATGATTTTTATTCATTTGTCTGTACAATTAGTATTATCAGCCTGCACTAAAAAATTAATAACGACCAATGACACTATTCGAGTCCCAGCTCGTTCAAATGCAGCTATATTGAAGGTCTTTTTGTTATTGGCTTCGTGAATCGGAACGTGCTATTACGGAATTTTAGTATCAGACAAAAAGCAAATACAATCCATTTGGAAAAGCATCTCAGCTATAATCATGCTTTTCTTTAAGTTCAAATGAGCATACAATGAAAATGTTAAGTGAAGAGTTATTGATTGAATTAATCTTTGAGGCACGCGTATTTTGCTGATTATTGATTTCAAATTTTCAGTAACTCTCGATCAACAACCGCATCTCATTTATACATCACACTGTGCTGGTTTGAAACGAGGTAAACAAAAAGAAAATAGAATTATTTGATGGATGCCGTTTAGTGTCCTGCAACCCGACCGACACTCACTGACATCTGAGCATGAAAACATAATTCACTCTCTAGAATTGTTATTAGTTTAAACGAGAGACTTATCAGAATGACTTGGCTATGAATAATCAATAAATTATTATTATGCATAAGAATAACAGACAAACTAGGAGTATATTGCCGTCTTTTTTCTGATCATAAGCCAAAAAGTCAAATAGTTTATTTGTAACAAACGTAAAATATTATTATATTTATTAAATTATATCTCCACGTTTATAAGAATTCAAGAATAAAAATATTTGAAAAATTAACTAATGTTTTTTTTTTACTTAAGGCTAAACCGATTTATAACTGAAACTATTGTATTATTTGTTATGTGAAATAGAGGTTTGAAAAACATATATATCAGTCAAATGCTTATTATTTCAAGACCGGATCGGGTCCGGGTGAAAAGTGACCGGGTACAGTTAAGTGCCGGGCATAAAAAAGTGAGTTGGGCCGGGTTCGGGTACAAAAAGTAGTACCCGCGCAGGATACTAATGCCGTTTGCCTACGTCATATAAAGAGTAATACACATTTTCTTGGGCATAGATATGTCACTCAAAAAATCTCTAAAAATCTGAATAATAATGAAGGAGAAAATTTTAATAGAGACAAAAATTGCCGGAAGTTTTTTAAAAGAAACTATATCAGTTCTTCACTACGGTATAATTTTCGATCATGAAACATTGAAACACGACAAAAATGCAATGTATTTACGGCTAGTGTAAATAACAGGAAAAATGTACATAGATATTGCATCATTTATGTGTCTCATGAAATACAATAATTAAAATTATAAAACTCAAGTTCAAACATGTGTTTCACGTGACAACGGCTGCAATACCAGCGTATATGGGACGTACCGAAGAGATCTTTATATCATTTTTGGACATTATCAAGTTTTCCAAACATTAGCAACAATTTAGCAGTAAGAAATCGTTAATCGCTACAGAACAAAATGAATAGTTAATCTATAAACACGAACTTTTTGACGATAAGAATCAATCCTATGCACGTTCATGAATCCATTTTTGATTTTTCTTATAATTCTCCCGTGGCTTTTGCCCGAGAGACGGACACATTTGATTTACTAAAAAACAAAGTCTCAAATACTCTCTCTCTCTCTTTATTCAGAAGGAGAGTCTTTGATAAACTTATCATTTCAAGAGTACATGTGTGAATCTTTGCTTTTATTGACCCATTACCAAATTAGAAAAGACTTCTAAAATAAAAATATGCGTCAAATTGTGCAGATTTCCATGTTTTGTCTTTCGGAGGTATATTTTTAAAGTATTGTCCAGTGTAAAAGCGAAAAGTTCTACAACAAAAAAATATTCATTAATAAAACATGTTTTTTATCGAATTGAACAAGAACTATTACTTGACTGTATCACAAACTTAACTAGTATGCATCTAATTCGTCGAATGAAATATTATTTCATCCATACGAATTGTTTTGAGTTCGATCACAATTGCCGTGGCCTGAATTATTGTGAAAATAGTGATTGATACCATTCTTGTCTGGCTGTTCCAAGTGGTATCACCAGTCTCAAATGATCTAGTTTCGAGAAGAATAATTGCACTTATAATTATGATTGCTATAGTACAACATTCAATATATCGCCGTTTGATCGATGATGAAGAAGAAAAATGAACGTGATATATAAAAGAATATTTCTCATTCTTGAGTATAATTTTCATTCAGCCACGAGTCTTCTCCAGATTCTGATACCGTTCGCTGCCAATTTATTGAAGCCGTTTTAATCATTATGACAGCAGCAAAAAGGCGACCCGCAAGATTTCTTCGTTCATTCGAGTGATTTTAAGAGTACGAAGTTTCGTGCATTGGTTTGAGATCCATGGCTATTTTCTATCATTTGCACCGCCTATTCTCACTTTTAATATATTCGTTTTATCGCCAGAGTCGTGTAAGAAACAAGTATGCAACTGAGTTTGTTCATAATCTAAAAATGAAGAAAATTCAAAATTTCTGTTTTAGATTATAAAAAGAGTATCGTCATTTAGTCTGGTCAAGACAGTAGAAAAGTCAATCTATTCTGTTGTATTCAAACTAAAATTATAGTAGCAAGGAATTTTCTTAGACGAACTAATACTAGCTTTTACTCTGAACTACCGAATTTTTCTGGAAATCCATCGCAACCGATCAATAGTAAAATACAATATTATTCAGATGTTTTTACATGCTGAGAAAATAAAATGTTCTACTGGATGGTGATATTACAGATTGAAATAGAATGTAGCTCTTAACTTTGAGTTCACCACACTTTCTGCAAATGATTTTTTCACAAATATTGAAAGTCTTCAATTTCGAATTTTAGGTTTTCGTTTCCCAGATACAGAACAATATTATTCGACTAAAACACTCTGTTGATGACATTGTCTAATTGCCTGTTTGTGCGTATGAATTATTTCTATCAATAAGTTCTTTTCTAACAAGGCATTCAAATCAAAATTACAGCATATGAGTGTTTTTTACAAGTAAAATCATTCAGAGTCTTTTTAGAAATAGACATATTGTTCATCTTTATATTCATCAGTTTTGTGAGATCTTCTGATTTGAGTAGAAAAATTGGCAAATCGTTTTTGAAGATTTGTGGACTCTGGGTTTGTTTTTACGTATTTCAAATGCCTTCTATCTTAACCATTATCTTTGTTATCTGCTAATATTTGTAAAATTTTGGTAATGAGCCAAAGTGAACTTAATCTTTCTCGTTCTAATGTTTAGATAAAGTAGCTAAGTGTTTTTCTTTTTGCCTCGGTCACAGCGACGATAAACACATATGCTTCGAATTCATATTTTAACATGAATTCGTTTTTAGCATAATAAATATTTTCTTTGGACATATTGAGCTGAAGAAAAATGAGAATTCTGTATGGAAGTAAATCACCTATTTTGCTTTTTTTCTATTAAAATCTTTTTATCAGGATCAATAAATAAGTTTAAAGAAAATGTATTTGACTCTCAAAATAATTTCATAGGCAAGACAACCGCTTGGCACCAACTCTAAACTACCAAAAAAAGAACTCATCAATGACACAAAGTTCGATGAAAATGAATAGAAAAAGCAGCTACTTTTATCGACTGAATTGTTCACAACATGAGTATTTGAATCGGATTTTAAGATGCAGTGCAGTATGGTACAAGATTTAACAGAAATATGAAAGCATGACTTTCAAAAGTATCATTTCTTCCCAAGCACTTAAAATCACCATAGTTAACCGAATAAAAAATAAATTGAGTACATACATGACGCAAGAAAAATGAAAGTCGATCAGTATTTTGCGCATATCTTTGTTTATTGGCGCCTTATTGAATGTGTTTATTTACAATCGGTTGCCTCGGTGTACGATAAACAATAGAATCAGACATTTAAAAGGTATCGACTACAGAAAAATTCGGTCAATTAAATAATAAAAACACCAATATAACCTCTTTTCTGTAAGTATTTTCCTTTTTCTTTTATGATGGATTAGGATGTTCGGTTTTAGTTCTGAATTCTTGTCTTAATTTATACTTTAGTTAAAAGAACAAAAAGTCAGAGACGATTCACATAGGTAGTAGAAATTTTATTTATTTTTGTTGTTTTCTCAATGATCAACTGTTAGATCACTCCTATGCTTGTTTTGTTTTTGGGATTTATGCACCTAGGAAGTATGAATAATAGAATAACGGCGTAGGCACATAACGAGAAAGAAATATAAATAGAAGCGATACTAATTTTTTTGGCGGCCGAGGTGGCTTTCTTTTTTTTCCTGTATGTAATCTACACCTGTTTTTTCTCGTTAAGCTAGCAACGAATAGTTTTATACGATCAAGACCATATATATACCAGAAAAATAAAATTATTTCTCTAAATTTATTAACACATTAGCACAAACGTTACAGAGGTAAATCTGTTGCTTTTACATTTTTTTTAACAGTTATTAATGCACGATTCTTCACATATGAGAGCGTTTGGTCATTGCTCAATACGTAAGTAAGATGTACATTTCAAATTTCAAATTTCAAATTTATAGATTAATAAACTAATTATCATTTATTTATAGAATACAAAACTTAGGCATGGGTAATTTATGTTTAAATAAGAACTTCGTTAGATAAAAGGATGCTAATTTTAGCGTGCCTAGTAATAATTTCTATTTACTTTGAGTTATCTTTCTACT